AAGCGCAAGCTTGTGTACACTGGCGTCGTACCACGTGGCAAAGTGGACAACAGGAACTTCGAAATATGGTACATGGGACATCATCCTCTCAGGACTTTAGGTACTTGGATGCTAATAAATGTCAAAATAGGTCTCCAATCAATGTGGGGAAATACGGAAACCCTGGGTGATGCAAGCCTGGATACTTTACATGATCTATGGGGTCTACGCAGGAGGGGAGGCATCCCAGTTCCGGACAGCACGAGAGATGCTACGGCAGATTGTTGATGTTGGTCCCGAATCTTCTTGCTTTTCTTCCGTGCTGCCAAACTGATTGAATTCCAGGCTGTACGCGAGGTCGGACTCTCTCAACAAGAGATTGCCATGCCAGAGTCACAATCCTGGCTGTATGACATCGGTTATCCACGCGGAGACGAATCGCGAACACTTTATGCTCGATGGACCTCCTATATAGCTGCCGAGTCCACGCGAGTGGCGCTATATACGTTATTTTTCCTGGACTCACACGTATTTGTACCTTGCAATTCTAGGCCACTAATGTCTTCAATGGAACTTGGATGGGAGCTCCCTTTCCCCACCAAACTCTGGGAGGCCAAAGACCCTGAAATATGGATTCGGAGGTTTGGCGAATATTTCGGTGTCTCTGCTTTTTCATTCACCAACGATCTGCTTCAACGGCCTCGCAGATTAGCAGCAGCATCTTTGACGATGGCAACGCAGCAAGTCATGACTGAAGCTCCCGGTACCGAGTTATCTGCTGCCCTAGAAGCATCTCCGTTCGCAGCGTTCTGCGTACTCGCGAATCTCGATACCTTGGTGCGGGACTTCACACGGTGTTACTACCAAATGCCACCCAGCTATTCTGATCCCAACCCATTTCACATTCTGACTCAAAGTCAGACCAAGAGTGTTTATATGGCAATACGTAATATTGGGAAGATCGTGAAAGACGCGGTTACAGCGAGTGACAGCCCCCAGTCTTTTCAATGGAGAACAAACTCGCTATTTATTGTATCCCTCCAGGTCAATTTGTGTCGACCTGACCAGCTGCTGATCGGGGGCATCGTTGACAATAGCTTGATTGCCGGCCTGGCTGCCTCGACCCATCTTATGAGAGGTAACTTTGTCGCGGTTCGACGATCTGCACCTTTGTTGGCCCCTCGTCTTGGCAGCAACGAAGGCGTATTAGCTTTACTCAGTGAGCTTTCTACAGCCCTCGCCAGCATATTCAGCGATGATTCGCAAAATGTTTCTTATGAGGCGCCCTGGGTCACAGTTACCAGCTACGGGGTCCTTCTGTGTATCTGGGGAGCGCTCAGGTGTGCAACCACTGAAATTCGTGACCATTTGAACACATTCAACGAACTCCCACGGACATCCGAACCATGTATGCTGATCTTCAACGCCCTCATTGAAGCCACCTTGCTGTACTCTCCGGCGACGAGACGTGACCGAGATGCTCGAGATCCACGCTTGTGGTCTACAGACCGTGAAGTCTTTTCTACTTTACTAGAGCAAGGGCAGTTGTTGTTTGCAGATCTAGTCAAGATTTTCTGCCAGCAGCGACTTGTGTGGAGCATCGGGCCGTCGATGTTGGCGGTGCTGAGAGAAATTCCCGATGCCGCTACCTGTGATTCAGAGTAAGTGGAAAATGTGGAGCTCCACTTGGCCAAGACCTCTTATGCTCCACTTTAGCTATCAGCGCCCTCCAGCCAGCGCCCATTTAAGACAACCACATGAGCTTGGTGCATGTACCGTACACTATACTCAAAACTTTTTTTGGGGAGAATATTCGCTATCCGCAAACAAGGATGAGCCCATCTATCCCACAAGTTGGCTGGGTAGGTTTGAACTTTGAACACCAGATCCCACTTGTACACTTGACTCACTCACTGAAATGACAGTACGGCCTTGGATCTATGGGCCTTGGCATGTCATTGAACCTCCAGAGGTACCTTCAAGCAAAGAACTTGCCTCCGCTTCGATACAGCAACAGAACAATCTCCAAGGGAGATATTCTTCGCGATGCAGGGGCTGTGCCTGAAGAATTCGATGCACTAGTTCAGAAATCCAATGTAATTTTCACAATGGTAGGTGCCGCTGTTGTTCAATCACCTCAAAGATATTCGGTTTGAGAGAACTACTAACAACTTGGAGATCTCCACCGATGATGTGTTGATCGATCTATTGGAGAGAGCTTCCACCATGGGGAACTCTCTAAAGGGTAAAATCTTCGTTGACACATCTACTATTCACCCAGACACATCTGAGTGGGCAGCGAAACGTCTCAAAGAGCATGGTGCGACATTCATTGCAGCACCAGTGTTTGGCGCAAGCCCAGTCGCAGCCGCTGGAAAGCTCATATTCGCTGTTGCTGGTCCTGTTACAGTAGTGGAAACAATCAGACCTCTTATCATGAATGTTATGGGACGCAGCATTTTTGAAATGGGAGAAGACGTGCGCAAATCAAGTCTCCTCAAAATCTCAGGGTAAATAAATCATCTTCTTCCTCATTTGGTTATTTTTCATGTATTAACTCTTTTCGTCTATGCAGGAACATCCTTGTCATCAGCTTCATGGAGGTCATTGCTGAAGCACAGGTCTTTGCCGAGGTAGCAGGAATCGGCACTCAGCAGATGGAAGACTTTATTGGAAATATGTTCGGGTCCGTATTGCAAAGTTACAGCAAACGAATCACGAGTGGAGCTTATGCACCTCCTTTGGACACGGCGCCTGGGTTTGCGGTTGCTCTTGCATGCAAGGACATGAAGCACGCTCTATCTATTGCCGACAGTCATAATGTCCGCCTACACACGCTTGAAACGGCTTCCAAACGGCTAAATACTGCACGCGAGTATGCTGGCGAGAATTTAGATAGCTCCGCTATCTATGGCATTGCTCGTCAAGAGGCGGGGCTGTCATTCTGGAGTGCGAATAGTCGGCAACAAAGCGAATCCTCTTAGCTAGTAGTTCATGTTAAAACTTGATATTATTTTACTTGAAATTAAATTCTGATGGAGAACTCCCTGTAGGAAATGCGCACGGGACTTTCCCTGAGATTCCCCTGTAGAATGTTTCCAGGCCAGCGCAGGTTGCCCTGTCCGGCCTTTCTTTATTTCTTTCTCTTTTCCTCTCTTTTTTCTTCTTATTCTTCCAAGAGTTTGTTCTCCAAGATATTCGAACCGAGAGAAGTTGCTCCGCCTCCTGCTTCCCTTGCGTAATGGCACGACTAGCGCCATCAGACCTGCTTGTCGATTGTGTTTGTCATCTGCTTAAAACGCCGAGCTAAAGGATGGCTACGTCTCCTGCTGTCTGCTTTATTTTCCGCCGTCCACACGGCATTCTTCGGAGATTTAAAGATTGCGATCGTGGCCGAGATGTGCAGGCTTCATCTTTGATGTGATATTCAGAGCTTCTATACCACCGCAGATTCAAGACCTTTCTAATTCAAATACATTGTCTAATTACACATTCTTTCCCGCTCAACCACTCTTAGAATGGGCTCCAGAATGTTCGGGCTCAGTGTCGCGATAGTAGAGTTTCGCAGGGGCTTTCGCCCTTGCCCTGAACCATATTTGAAACAATGTGCCACAATAGCTTTGACACCAGTCACGCCCACTTTAACAAGAGCACCGTCTGCATGACTGAGCAGGGATTGAAGCTCTTGAGCACCCTTGATATCACCATTCTCATATCTTCTCAGCAATTCCACATGCACTTTTGGCGCGATGTTGGCAAGAGCTGCGATGATTCCATTGGACCCGGCTACGAGGGCGGGCAAAAAAAAGTCCGACTTTCCTCCAAATGCGGCAAAGGACGTGGTAGGAAGTGTAGATGATATACGCTGAAGCTTTCCAACATTTCCGCAAGTGAGCTTGCACCCAACAATATTGGAGTTGGATTGGGCGAGCCGGATGGTTGAGTCTGAACTTATGTCGATACCACCAGTCACTCCAGGGAAGTTGTAGATCAGAACTGGAAGTGGAGAGCTAGATGCTACCTGTGATCCAGTCAGGTAAGGTGATCTAGATAAGTAATCTGAAATGACTGGAAACTAGGGGAAATACATCGTCGAAGAACCCTTCAATTACGTTAGTGCTCATAGCTAAGACCCAATATGACGGGGGCAACACCAGTGCAAAGTCGGCGCCAGATTCTTTTGCTTCAGTAATATGCGCCAATGTTTCTCGGACACTGGGTGCGCCGCATCCAACAATCAGCTGTATCTGCACATACCCCAACTCGTTGAGATGATCGCGCACCGCGCGCACCAAGTATTTACGTTCTTCGTGATCCAGATGTGGTGCTTCTCCGTTACTTCCTTGAAGGACTAGCCCAGCAACATCGCCTTCAGCCATGCGCTTAGCATGTGTCAAGGTACTTTCAATATCGAGAGATTCGTCCTCCGTAAAGAAGGTCACTAATGCTGTGTATACACCGAATTTAGGCGTTAGTGGAACCATTGCCGTTGTGAATGCTGATATTTCAAGAATGTTTGTCTTGTCCGAGAACACTCTGAGTAGAGATGTAGTAGGATTTCGCGGAGTCATCAATTTATCTATCAGTGCCGGTGCTTGCTCTCTGTATCGATGGCGAGTGGAGCTCCACCATAGATTTGTCCACTTCACATTCGCCATCAAGACAGGTGGCCCATACGGGGATCATGGATTGCCCCATTAATTGCGAGTTGTTTGTTTGTGTCTGGTCAAGTCTAGTCTCACTTGTTCTTCCGCGCAATGTTGTCATTTTCTACATTCTTTGAAGACGTGGCCTATACGCCCCCGGACGCGATATTCGAACTTACCAAAGATTACAAAGCTGATCCAGACACTCACAAAGTGAACTTGGGCCAAGGCACATACAAAGATATTTAAGGAATTCCTTAAATACTCCCAGCAGTTAAAGCAGCCAAGGAAGCTATCAAAGATTGCGAACACGAATACCTTCCGATCCTGGGTCATCCAGAATTTCGAAAATTAGTTACGGAATTGGTCTTCAAGATGGATTCTACCGCTATACGGGAGAGTCGGGTAAACAATTTAGAGCCTTATCATTGCCACAAGAAACTAATATGTCAATCCCTTCCTAATAGGTCGCCTCCTGTCAAGCATTATCGGGTACTGGTGCACTGCATGTGGCAGGAATGATGCTCATGCGGACATCTATTTGTGATCAAACTGGATACATCACCAATCCGAGCTGGTCCAACCACAGGCAGCTTTTCGAATCAGTAGGCTTCTCAGTCCGAGAATTCAACTATGCCTCAAGTAGTGGTGTTGATATGCAATCACTATTTCGAGCGATGACCGAAGCAGATCCGATGTCGATTTTTGTTCTTCATGCTAGTGCACACAATCCAAGTGGCTGGGATCCTACGCCAGAACAATGGAGAAAGATTGGCGCTCTCATGAAGGAGAGAAGGCTATTCCCTCTTTTTGACGCTGCGTACTTGGGATTGACGTCTGATAACTACGATGAAGACGCCTACGCAATCCGGTACTTTGCGGAGGAGCTCAATCTTGAGATGGGTGTCTGCATTTCCTTCGCCAAAAGCATGGGAATGTATGGTATGTGTTCGCTTTGAGTATTGTCCCAGTAGGCTCAGTTGGGTCGCAGGTCAATCTGTGCTTTCCCTTCCAGTATCTACTCTCACTCACACGTTCGCTTATTCTCATAGGCGAGAGAGCCGGACTATGTGCTTTCGTATCACGCAACCACAGCATCGCCACGAACGTCGAGTCAAATTTGGCCCAGTTGATCCGCTGCGATATATCTAATCCCCCAGCATTTGGTGCTCGTATCGTCGCTACGGTTCTCGGAGATGGAGGCCTCTTCTCTCAGTGGCAGCGTGATCTTGCGACGATGAGCTCGCGCATTACTGGAATGAGGAAGCGGTTATTCAGTGAACTGACGGCTTTAGGTATCGCACATTCTCACTCTTTTCAACACACTGTCAGCCCAGGAACTATTTTCCTAGCAGGTACTCCGGGCGATTGGAAGAAATTAACACAGCAGAAAGGCATTATTTGCGTGCTTGGTCTCACACCCGACCAAGTTCATTACCTGAAAAGTAAGTAAGACCTCATAGGCTTCTAGATTGCGTGAGAGAATCAAGCTTATTCACCCTTAAAATTCAGAATTTCATCACATTTACATGGCTGAAAGCTCCAGAATCTCTATAGCCGGGCTCAACGAAGGCAATGTGCGCTATGTGGCCGAATGTATCCATCAAATCGTATGTCGGCGAGAAGAGTAGCTGGCAAAGTCGCATGCTACTTCACCCACCGTTATTTGTTGTCAACACTGGTTTAAGTTATGGATTTATATTCTTGCAATAGAATTAGTTTGTTCTACGAAAGCTACTGACCACCCCCATTCCAGACCTCTGATTTCGAATTTTGGGATGTACATTGTACCTGAGTTAAAGGCGTAAACCAGAAAGCAGCGCACAGCATAGGAGATTTGATAATGGAAGGATCGATCCACATAGCCAAATGACCTTCCGGTTTCCGAATAAGTTGATTCTATAACAAGAGGGCAAAATGGAAAAGGGCACAATACATACCTGGAAGCCAGCTCCGTATCTGTTATGTCACGTAAAAACCTTCATCGCAATTGATTTTAGACTGCTACGTTCACCAGAGAAATAATAAAATGAGGTGTTTTCTATTTATGGTGAGACAAAAAACAGGATACATTAAATTATACCGGGAGTCGAGCGCGAAACGGACTGGTGGCTGAGGGGTAGGGAATTCTGAGCCAGATGGTCGGTTCGTTCTTGGTACAATCCTCCGGCCGATTGCGTAGTCTTTCATGGCTTGGGAACCTACGCAAATCTTTCTTCGTATTTCGGCCTCTTGTAACTTATCGATGAAAAGATTCCAGGAGAAGCCCGGAAGAGATACGAAACCCATAGGCGGTGGAGCTCCACCAACCCCGCAAATTGCATATCTACGGCGGCTAATAGCGGCCATCGGGCAATAATGATTTCTTGGTGTTTAAGTGCCGGCAGAATTGGTATAAAATCTGATTAGATCGCGTAGCTTATCTAAAATACTATTATTGCCCGGTCACCGGTATTAACCGCTGTACATATCTCCGGAACAAACTTTGGTATTTGGAAAATCCGGGGCCATTTGCCCCATCCTTATCAGGTCCGTGCAAGGACCCATTTAAGGAGCGTCGATGACTCCGCGAATCGATGATTTTCGAATATGATGGATCAAGTGATTGTGACATAGCAATATGACTACCCAACCCAACGAAAAAGACGTTTTAAGGGTTCCACCCAACCATGATATGGAGCAAGCGGATACTGAAGTCCAGCGTGGCGAGATCAAGCATGGAGAGACGCGAGACTTCGACCCAGCCCTGCAGTTTATGGCTGATGGCGAAATCGAATATACCCCTGAAGAGTCCCGCAAAGTGTTGTTCAAGATCGACCGAGTCCTGATGCCTTTGCTGTGTTGGGTTTATTTGATCCAATTATGCCGACAAAACGTCTTTAAATTATGCCTCCCTAATGGGAATCCGCGAGGACACACACTTGGACCCTGAGTCACAGCAATACAGCTGGGTCTCGAGCATTTTCTACGCTGGATACATATTCTGGGAGTATGTACCATTGCATTCTCTCTACCTCCCTTCTCTAGGTCCATGCTAATCTTGGTATAGATTTCCCACTACCTATCTGCTACGTCGACTTCCACTAGGGAAATATACTTCAGCCAATATTCTGATTTGGGGCGTCGTGCTTCTCTGCCATGTCGCAGCTGATAGTTACGCTGGACTGCTCTGTGTTCGCTTTTTCCTCGGCGCGTTCGAAGCGACAATAACTCCGGCCTTCGTCCTGTTTACCTCCTGTTGGTATAAACAAGAGGAGCAGGCCAAGCGTATGGGCTTCTGGCTTGCTTGCAACGGTGTCGCTCAGATACTGATTGCGGCAATCGCGTATGGACTGTCAGGTGTGCAGGAGGCATCTATTCCTGTGTGGAAGATACTCTTCCTGGTGCTTGGCTTGCCTACCGTTCTCACCGGCTTTCTTTATTTTTGGTTCATGCCTAACAATCGAATCCAGGCCAAATTCCTGAGCCACCGCGAGAAGCATATTGCTGTTGATCGCATCAGAGGCAATTTTCAAGGCATTGGGAACCGTACTTGGAAATGGGCACATTTCTTCGAAGCATTCCGGGATCCACGCACATACCTCTACGTTCTATTTTCATTCTTGATGAATATTCCAAATGGAGGAATCACTACCTTCGGTTCTCTCATTATCAGCTCTTTCGGCTTCTCTAGCCGGATGTCCCTCATGCTTAACATGCCAATGGGTCTTGTTGATATCTCCTGCAAGCTGGGGTTGACGTACATGTCGGACAGGTTACTTGACCGAACCCTCTTTGCCATCATCGCTATCCTTATACCTATGGTTGGCGGCATCTTGATGATTGTCCTTCCCCTTCACGCAAAAGCCGGCTTGTTGGTGGGTTACTATTGTATCGGTGCTGCCGGGACCTCGTGGTGTTTGGTCATGGTGATGATATCTAACAATACGCTGGGTTACACCAAGAAGGCAACTGTGAATGGTCTTCAGATATTGGCCTATGCTGCTGGAAACTGGATCGGACCGCAGACGTTCCGCTCGAATCAAGCGCCGGAGTACTTCGACGGCAAGTTGCTCGTTGCCATCATGTACGCTCTGGCAGCGGCTACCTTACTGGTAATTCGTCTGGTGAACATTATGGAAAATAAGAAACGCGACCGGCAGGCAAGTTCTGATCCCGACCGCGAGAACGTTATTGTTGGGACTGAGTTCCTCGATTTGACGGATTTCGAGCAGCCAGCCTTCCGCTATGTGCTCTGATGGATTGTCACGTAAGCGATGGGATTGGTAGAAGCTACTGGATGGCCATAGACGCTTGCGCCTAAGGCGTGTTACTTGACTGCTGGGTTTATTATTATGTTGTATAGCTGTAGAAGTTCTTCAATTAATATGTTGTTACCGTCTCTCTACACCCTGTACAAATATTCCCCGTGAAATAAAGCTTCCCTGGTCGGAGTAGCCTCCGTAGTTTGTCCTACTGGATATGCAATTCCAGGGGGCTTGGCTACATCTCCTCTCGTCAGTGAGTAGTCAACGGATTATTAGGTAGGGGTCTTAGCTAATAATATAAGCACTGGAGATTTAGTCCTGTAATATTAATTAGATAGTCATATATTGAAATCATGAATCAGCTTCCTTCTTTCTTTATTTATTAATATTAAAACAGTAAACTTGATAGTTAATATAGTAAGGGACTCTTCTAGAGGGAAACGTTAATGCGAGACCAAAGGCCATCATGACCCGCAGATTCCCTGAGGACCGATAGGGAGCCCTATATACTCAGGTACACACGGAATAAGGCGGGGACCTTGTATGGATTCACCTCCTTACAATATCTTAGTATCAACTAGTAGTAAAACAAATGAAATAGTAAAATAAATAGAATATATATAGATTTTACTGGATTTGAAGATAAAATAATGATTCTTGTTTAAATTTAATATAACTAGAATGATTTTCAACCTTTTGGGCTTACGATCTGTCAGCTGTGAAAATGACCAGATAGCTCGAGATACATGCCAGAGAAACGAAACAGAGAGCTAGAGAGAGAATGATGTGACCACCGCCATTCTTAGTGATTACAATACTTATACTTTATCCACTCCACTATGAGATTATTCTAGTTGAATAATTGCATTTACTCTTTGACTACTCTAAGCTGCTAGCTACTAGACAATAATACAAAGACTCTGATTTACTTTCTGCACTTACGGGTCTCGATCTAAAAGCTTATCCCCGAGGGTTTGAAGAGGAATGATGACATCTTATGATCCCTTCCGAACAGGACAGACGCATCAATGGGACAGGTCCTTAGCTACTCATCGTGAAGGCACGCAAGGGAAAGTAGAAATAGGCGGACTAGTCAATTAACCCTCGGGGATCATTTCCTTTTTTTTTTTTTTTTTTTTTTTTCCTTTCCCAGTCCCTTGTAGAAGCATGGAATAATGACAGAGTCCTGTGTGAAAATTTTAGATAGAGAGATCAGTATCTCATTTTGAAGGTTGATTTGAACTGTACTGAAATCTCCTGGTCCTGACATGGGACTTTGACCGAATGTGCCCAATTTCCTGATCAACATGTACACTGGAGGGATCGTTACCGCTCCTACAAGTCGATTAGAATCAGTCTTGCCCATCAACGGTGTTTCATCCTTCGCTTCCCAGAATGAGCCGGTTGAGATTTCTTTTCTTTCAGATCGATAAGGGAGGCTTTATGGCATTGGGATCTAATGACGATCCAGGGTGTCATTCATCGCAAACACTTTATGTATCCCTATATACCCAATAGGACAAGCGACAAATAAATTGTCATTTTGCCAGGCATTTATACCTCGTAACCCGGATTATCCAGATGCGCCCACACAAATGATATATCTACTTGCTCGCATACGATGAACGTATACACTCAATCATATGTTGCTCAACCGTAATAGACTCACCAGGAGCTGTTGTGCCATCGAGAGGATCAAGTGGACAGTCAATATTCCCATCAAAAAAAAAGGCGATTGAGTACCTATCTGTACTGGAACGATTGATAACTCGATGGACGCTGCTCTTATACTCACCCGCGGTCCAACGCGTGATCATATCGCCGATATTGACAACGATAGAATCTTGACGAGGTGGTACGTCTACCCAGTTACCTGTATCCGAGTCGTGCACCTGCAATCCAGATACTTGGTCTTGTAACAAGAGAGTAATTGCACCGAAGTCCGTGTGCGCCGAAGCACCGAGCTGTCTCTCGTCGTCGACCGCAGCGGCATCCATTGCCCCCTCCGTGGGTGGATAGTGTAACATACGCATAGGCGTAGCAGGATCGCGCTTAAAACGATCGAAGATCCCTTCGCCGTATGGTAGAGTCCGCGCTAGTATCTCTAGGATCTTGCATGCTAGTTCCATCAGGGCCGAGAACAATGCTTCCACAGGCTCCTTGAATGCGACTGCGGGGAGGACCTGAAAAGAAGGCCAGATATTTGGGCCTGTGAGTATGCGGCCATAGTCTGTATGTGATTGAGAAACATCGCGGCCAATGAAAAAACTCTGCAACAAGTGTTCTTTGTGAATACACAAGGCGAATGGAATGGAGGTAGTGAGTTCATGTAAAGACTTACCTCTTTCAGATCAGGCAAGGTATCTCCACCGTATGACTGAGTTCCTATCCCATCATATCCACGGAATCCAAGATGTTTCGTTATATCAAGCTTCTGCTTTTCCTCCAGAGGCAGCGCATAGAAACGACGCGATGCCTCAAAGGCTCTAGTCATGGTAGACATAGACACGCCATGGCCAATAACCTGGAAGAAGCCTGTGTGCAAACACGCCACACGAATAGCCTGGCATACATCATTTGCTGCTTCGCTAGTTGGATTTAGAAGAAATGGGGAGATATCAATAGTGGGGACTAAAGAAGATGAAGAAGAGGGGGTAGAGGCGGGAGACGCAAAATCAGACATTGCGAGTCGAAGGTGACAAATATAGGTATAGAAGCCAATATGGTATCTCAATGGCACTTATTGGAGTCACTTTATTTGTACAAAGCGTTGGCCGGACTTTTGTCGGAACGAATTTGGAGATTGTCAGAGGTGTGAGTGAAAAGCCTGTGAGGCTCGGGATACTGACGAACCTAAATATACCACGAGCCCACGACGATCTTCCCCCGCTTAAATTGCTACATGTTGAATCATCTGTACTTGCGGTATTGTCATGTCATCCAGAGACGCCCCCAGATACGCCCTTTTCTTGCGCTATGGGTTTACCCGTATCTGTAATACGGCGTCGTAACCCACAACCCTACTAAAGAATACAACCATTATACACATCCTACAACATTACATACTGTAGCAATTATGACCCCGCCTGAACTAAATAAGCTTGGCCCCCAATTTTGGCCCCAATCCTTCGAGCTATAACGTTACGTAGGGCGAAATTGTGGTAAAGCAATACGGCTTCTAAGTTAACTATACCTCCCTTAACAGTCCAACTGCTATAGGTACCCATGAGTCGGGCTGGCCACGAAGCAAATGTTCAAAGAGTCGCGTCTCTATAGATTATCACAACAGAATATAGTGACGTCCAACAATTGTACTTGCCGAGTCCACTCATCAGGTTTCTATTGGCCAAATACTTAAAACCTGGAGCAAAGCCATGACGGCGCGATGGTATATTATCTGTTCACGTTTATGGAACCTCGCCTGAAGTGAGTTAATTTACCGAGGTTCTTATCATAGAACCGCTCCTACAGATATGAAAATCTTCCAAATCAGACTTCACCCAATACCGAGATCGGGCATTAATATTGCTTGACCTGTTCTCGGGAAACGGCGGCTGACAAGCAACCCTCTTGTCGATGCAGAGGCCATGTGGAGCTGACATATATCTATCACCCCAGAAAGCCAGTCCTCCTCCACTGCTCAATATACAATAACAGAGTTCCTGGACTCACGGGACCGGCTGATCGTAGAGCCGCAGAGACAGACGTTGTACTGGTCGTACTCATCACAACTGACCCACAGGACATATGAAGAAAATCATTTTTGAAGAAATCCCTTAAGTTCTTCGCCGGATTAGGTGACCCTGTCACGGTGTCTCCATTGGTCTCCATTCGACTCAGCCATTCCTTATACGGAATGATAGGCAGCCCCAAATGCGCAGAGAGATAACCAAGCAGCTCACACCACGGCTGACGAACAGGGTTTTCGACATGATACACCATCCGAAGATGAGCCGTATCCAATAGGAGCTCACTGACGGTGGCAGCGGCAATATCGATTGGGAGCCAGGAGGCAAGCTGTGCCATCGTAAGTAGCAGTTCACAAATGCCAATTCAAACTATGCCAAGAACTTACTCCATCAAGGTGGGGCAGAGCGCCTATTGTTTGCGATGTTCTCAGTAAAGCCGGAACGTGCTCCTCTGTATTCCACAAACCGAATTGTTGAGAACCCGTTATCTGTCCAATTCGGACGTAGGAAGCTTCGAGGCGGGTATCTTGCTCCAGCGCCCGATTTATTATCTGCTCGCAGTGATATTTCGCCTGGCTGTATCCGAATCCGAGTGAACTTTGACAGTCCCTCACCGGATCCTCCGGAACTGGCTTATTCGCAAATGTATTGGGGTGGCGGCCAACTACGCCTATCGAGGAGATGAATAAGAGTCTTGCACCGTACTTGGCTTCGTGGCAGAGCTTCAACAGGTTTTGCAGTGTTTTGAATTGAGGTTCAAATGTGTGCAGGGACCGCTTGAAGCTCATTGGCCACGCGTTGTGGACAATATGGGTGACTTGGTCTCGTAATCGCTGGTATTGTTCGGTTTGCAAACCGAGGGCCGTGTGGCTTGATTTTGCTTCGAGAACTTCAATTTTTTCCCACTGTCGTTCGTTAAGATCAATACCTTTATCTCTGAGAGCACGTCGTTGCCGTTGAATTGGATCATCATTTGTTGTCAATCGATTCAAGCATATCACCCGGCGGACGTCTGCTCGATTAATCAGCTGGTGGAGGACGTGGGTGCCAAGATTACCTGTGCCGCCAGTTAGAAGCACAACTGACCCACTAAGCCCAGGTTCCTTAAGTAGATCAGGTGTTGAATATACTGACAATGGTTGACGTGAAGTGACTATTTCAAATTTGTCCCCTGTGCACTTCTCGCTACCAGTTTCCCACTTGGAAAGGTCGTCTTGATGATCCATCTTCACGCTTATTATCAAGCGGAGCTGCTCTGACTCCTTCGTGTCGCCGGTAGTCCAATTGATATATGAAAAGCCTGCTTGTCTCAAACTATCTTTCCAGAAAAGCTCATGCGCAAGCGCATGTTGACGACCATCATTGAATAGCCACCATCCTTCAAGTAGTCCAAAAACTAAATCAAACCACGGTAAATTCCGTGTGAGTTCCACAAGACAGAGGATGCCTCCTTCTTTGAGCAGTTTGTGGATATTTTTGGTTGTCGCAGTGAGATTCCTCGTCGCATGAATACAATTCGTGGATATAACCAGATCGTACTGATTTGCAGATGGAGGTTCTTGTTCGATATCCAGGACATTGAACTCCATGTTGGGACACCATTTGAACTTTTTCCTGGCTGCTGCGACTAGGGATGGGGAAAGATCGGTGAAGCAGTACTCGAATGGAATATTGCTGCTGGTAAGACAGCGAACCACATCAGCGGTAGTTCCTCCAGTGCCGGCTCCGATTTCTAGAATCCTGATGGGCTGAGTTCTTTGTCTAAGGCATGATAGCAGGAATTTGCAGAGAAGCTTCGTTCCTGTCACAAACACAGGGGCTTTGAGATATACATCGCTAACCAAGTCCTTGGCTGCCCGATCCCCAAATATCAAATCGAGAGCATCTAGCTCGCCAGACAGACAGGACGCAAGCCTGGAGCCAGTGATACTCAGGAGACGGTGCTCTAATTGGTGTTGGGGAAAGTCTTGTATGATCGCGTCGAGGAGATCGGCGGAGGAAGTGCAGTCCACGCGCTTAGATGTTCGCTTGTACTCTCCCAAGTTGTCGAGTGAAATGAGCCCTGCGTCTTGTAACAGTTTGTATAGCTGCTTCATGAGGTTTCCATGTCGTGGCTCATAGGAAACGGGCGATAGCGACAAGCTCTCCCCTGGAGACATCGAAGAAAGGGGACAGCCCAGACTTCTGAAAGCTTCGACGACGTAGGCCGTGGCAAGTTCCATCTGACGGGGATGGACCTGAGCGTAGAAATTGAGAAACTGAGATTCATCCGAAAGTTGATCGAAAGCTCCTTTGATTTCTTCGAATGAGGCAGCAAGGTCCTTTAGTGTGAATCCCCCAACAGTGCTGGAACAAAGAGGTTTCGGTGGACCCGATAGCTGAAATAGCTGGCTTCTATCATTTCTTTTCACGAGTTCCTGCCTCTCTTCCAATCCTGATATCATTTCTGGGGCCATCAATTGCGTATGAGAACCCAGCGCTTTAATATCGCAATGCCTTCCAAGAGAAACCCTGCCCGGCGGCGTACCGCACGAAAGGTCATCCCTTTTACCACAATCCTGGTCGGCGAGATATGCGGCAAGTGATGTGACAGAGTATTCATGAAGATTTTCTGGAATATCCGCACGGCCCAGATTCTTTCGGAGCTCAGATTGGACCTCTTTTCTCATAAGAGAATCTATTCCAAGTGCTTCAAGAGTGCTGTCATTGCCAATCTCATCCACAGGAATATCGGTAATGGCCGAAAGGATATCTTTAAGAGTGGAAGAGGTTGAGTCACGCATCGAGAGAGTTGTGTGGCTTTCGGACGATGAGGGTGTATTAACAATTTGAACAGGCCACTTTTGTGACGATGATATCAATGTGGTCAAATCGAATAGGGTTGAAGCCTTGGCTAACGTGTCGGTCGATATGTCGAGGCCAAATTCCTGTCGAATTTCGGCTGTGACTTCTGATCTCATCAAAGAGTCAATTCCCAATGCTTCCAAAGAGTTGACCTGAAGAATATCTTCCACGGGACGATCTGTCACTCTGCTTAGAAGACGCTGTAAACGAAGCAGAATATTTCCGTCAAGCACTGGTTTTGGTGATGTGCCTAGACCTAGATTGCTCAAAGGAGTCGATGGCGGCGTGGAATCCTTCAATCGTTGAACGGGCTTTCCGTGATTGAGGGCGGACAAAGTTTTGGTCAGAGAGTTTACAGACACCTTGGCAAATCGAACGCCAAAAAGAGCCACCATGAGAGATCCGGTGGTCTTATTGAATGCGAAGATATCACTTTCCAATACCCCAGGTCCACCCTGCTTAGTATTGGAATAAACAAGCCAAGATTGATCCCGCACCTTCTCTAGAGACTGGTACACTTTCAGCTTCCCAATTGACGTACAGACATAAACTTCTTGTCTTCCAAGATCACGAAAGCAGTTGATGTGAATTCCAGAAACTTGAAGAAAATTGTCAAGCGCTAGAGGGTCGCATACAGAATCTTGCATGATTCCGGCAGCGGCCACTGGAAGGGATACAACTCCGGATGCTTCAGATTTGGTAGCAGAGATGCGTTGGACGCCCTGATAGAAGTCTTTATAGTCCACAACCGCGCCAAACACATTGTACACGAGTCCATTGATTGATTTTATGGATGCGTCCTGAAGGATTGAGTTGCAACGATCTGCTCCAATTAAGCGCTCATACAGGCTCGATTCCGATACCAAAAAGTCTGCATTGGCAGGGACCTGAATAGTCCCGGACGCGTGATGGATATCCTCAGCTCCAGTAGTACTCAAGAGCGAAAATCTCCATACTTTGGGCTCCTTCAGGGAAAGAAGAAGCTTGATGGTTGCGAATGGATTCAGCCCTAGAGGAGCACTTATCTGGAGGTCTTCCACCTGTGGCAGTACGGGGGATTCGTTTTCGCATATATATACCGCGGCCTGGGCAGCGAGCTCGAGATACAATGATGCGGGACAAAGGGAATGGCCGAGAACTGCATGACCGCTGACACAAGCCCGGAAATAGTCGGAATTCGCGTTGACTTTGAACTCAGCAATTCCTTTCTCCCTATCTCTCGACTGGACGAACAGAAGCAATTTGGAATGTTGATCGTTGTCATCAGTATGACTTGACTCCTTTGCAAGGCTGTTAAACTCTTTGAATTCTAGCCAATGTTTCGATTTGGCGAACTGGTATGGAGGAACGTTGAAGACCCTAAAGGCATCTCGTTGGCTGCGGTGATATGCCCAGAACTGCACATTGTAGCCAAGAGCTTGTAGCTTTAGTGTTGCATTTGCCAAAGACTCTGCAGGGCTGGGGCCGCCAATATCCACAGGGATAAATGAGTTTAGTTGACTCGCAATTCTCGACGCCAATGTGGTACCGAAGGAAGATGAACCTGCCTCAATCCAGGTACACGGTCCAAGCTGGGATTCTATTCGTTGAACGGCATCATGAAAGAACACCGGTTGGCGCGAATGATCGACCAGAAATTCTGGGTCAAAGGAGTCCCGGCCGTGACCTTGAGTGCAAGTCTGAATTGGAATATATGGCTGATAGAATGTAAGTGCGTTCGCGATTCTTCGAAGCTGCGGCAAAGCTGGATCCATCAAACTTGAATGAAATGCACGAGCTACATCCAGGCATCGGACGTCGATCCCGGCAGCCTTGGCTCGGGATTGAAAGCCCTCAATAGCTTGTATAGATCCTGCAACCACGACATCGCTTGGACCATTGTAGCAGGCTATCTCGACTTGACTTGTGGATACCAGTCGTGTTACAATCTGAGTATCGCCCTTCAGAGCAAGCATGGTACCTTTTTCTGCACTCCAATTAATGTCGAACAGCAACGCTCGCTCAATGACATATTTCACTGCATCTTCCAAGGAAAGCACACCGCAGACACAAAGAGCGCTAATCTGCCCAAAGCTGTGGCCAATGACTGTCGCAACCTTGATTCCCGCATCAATCCAAGATCTGGCACAGGCATACTGCGAGGCAAATAAGCAACAATGAAGGGTAACAGAGTCTTGAATGACTTCTTTCGAAAATATAAACGGGTAGATTGTTTTCCCCAACGCTTGGCAGGCAGCTTCAACACGATCGAGATGGTGGCGGAATAGCGAAATCGAGTCGTATAGCTGCTTGTTGATACCAACACTGGACTTGGATTGGCCACCAAAGCAAAGAACAACGGGCTTGACCGTTCCAGAGAATGAAGGAGTCGGTGTCACATGACTTTGTGCGGAAAGGAAAGACCGCAGCTCACTGATGGAGCGTGTGACAAATGACAGACGATATTTGTGTGCTGGATTTTGAATGCGGGCCAGCTTGTAGGCGACATCCGGAAAATGCCTCTCATTTACATCAGCAAGGTACCGCAATAGCTGATTGCAGTAAGCCTGAAGGCTCTCAGCTGAATCAGCAGCGATGGATATCAGTTGACATCGCAAAGGGCCATTTCCAGTGGATCTTGAGCAGGTCGATTTCAGGGGCTCGGGAGCCTCGCGCAGAACGAGTGCACCATTACTTCCAGCTGCGCCATAATTGCTGATGCAAATGGCGCGGAACGGGGCATCCCACGAAATAGTCTCTGTGGGAATGGCCAACTTCTCCGGTTCCAATGGAGGTATCTGGGGATTCAATTTGTTGAAGTTCATGTGTTTTGGAATCTTTTTCTTCTGAAGCATAAGGACTGACTTGAAAAGTGCCGCAGCACCTGAGCCTGCCTCCAGGTGTCCAATGTTTCCTTTCACAGATCCGAAATAGAGCGTTTGCTGGCGTCCTGTATTAGTACTCCCAAAGACAGTTCGAATACTTTCGCATTCAATCGGGTCTCCCCTTGGGGTACCCGTTCCATGGGCCTCGATGTACGTCACATCCGATGGCTCTAGGCCGGCCTGGCTGAGAACATGCCGGTAGAGGGATTGCTGAGACTTGGACACCGGCGCTGTTATTGACGTTCCGTACTCTCGCTGTGTTTGGTTGACGGCGGAGGCAGCGATGACCCCAAGTACTTGGTCTCCGTCAGCCAATGCGTTTTCTAGTCTTTTGAGAACAAAAAGACCGCATCCCTCTCCCCGACTATAGCCATCAGCAGCTGCATCAAATGCTTTAGTCGCACCAGTTGGACTGAGGAAAGACGCAGCACGGAGATTTTGATACAGAGCTGGATTCGTTATCACATTAACACCGCCGGACAGGGCACTTGTGCATTCGCCGCTGAGAAGCGCCTTACAGGCAGAGTGCAAAGCTACGACCGATGATGAACATGCTGTGTCGTATGTAATCGACGGACCGGTCCAACCAAAATAGTGAGAGACTCTCCCACTGACGAAGGCTTTCAATGACCCTAAAGCAGAATATGAATTGGGCTGATGGGAGTAGATGTTGGCTTCGTAATCAACCGACCCCACTCCAAGATAGCATCCAATGTTGGTATGGGTAGGTTTCCGTTGGCCATCAAAGTAGCCAGATGACTCCAAAGCTTGGTAAGCGACCTGTAGAATCAAACGCTGCTGTGGATCCATGGAAGCTGCCTCCCGGCTCGATATTTGGAAGAAACGATTGTCAAATTGGTCGGGGTCTTGAATGAAGTTCCCCCAAAAGACGGTATCGTCTGCAGATCTTCGTAGACCTTTGGTTGGAAACCTGCTTTCTGGCAAGACGGAAAGCATTGATTTTCCACACTCGAGCAATTCCCAGAACTCCTCCGCCGAGTCTGCACCCGGAAATCGACAAGCCATGCCGACTATGGCGATCGAGTTGTCATGATTGTCACACCCTGGAGCGTCAGGAAGAGACTTAACCCCAGGTTCGGTCATATCGGGCTCGGGAACGAAGTCTTTGACGGTAGTCGTGATGTTAGAAAGAGGTTGAATCATGTCATTAGAGACGCAGACACGAGCTCCACTTCTCTGAATCAAGCAATGCGGAACCACGTTGACCGACCCAAATACCAACATTTTTGGGGGTTTGTCCTTAATGACAGCTGACTCCAAAGCAGAGGTCATTGTGGAGAGCCAGTCCACCTGGTCCAATAGTAGGGATCTGATGGCAATGATATGTAGCGGACCTTTAGAAAGACGTCTACCGTCAGAATTCCGTCGAAGGGGTGTCAGAAGGCCTTGGGCATCAGGAAAACGCAGATCGGCGTTCAATTGGCACATATGAAGGAGCTTATTTGCAATATCTTCATTGCTTGCGTGGTGAAACCTCCCTTTTAGCTCCAGCGCATGTACCCGCAACCCGTTCATCAAAAGTTTTTCCGCGGTACTTGGAATTTCGGATGCCGGGACCGTGATAGTGCGGCTTGTCTCGTCCTTCAGCACCGAAACATAAGCCTATATTGAGTTAGTATCCACATTTTCTCTGACTCTAGGCATCGAGAGGATCAGCCGAAGTGTGAAGGAAAGAACGGAGTGAGGGAGTAATTCTTTCTTGATCAGTATGCTGGATTGCGATAACCCGAACACTCCTCGGAGACTGGAACCCCTCCCTCCTTCTCCCATCCTCCTAATTCCTGTCTTTCTGTGATGAAAAAAGCCTTGACTTAAGGCACTCGGAAGAATTGTAAAACTTACATTCGGCTGTTCTTCCAGTATTCTCAGAAGACACGACTCCTGGATGGGCGAACTCCATCTGACCACCAATGCTCTTGCTTCTCCTGTGCCATCCGAAGTGTTTCCGTTTAGGTCGACGAAGGTGCCGATGCAGGCTGCCAAACGAACAGCGATTGCCGCCATGGCAAAAAACTCTGTCGAATCTTTCGAGGTTGCTGCCGCGATTGCTGTTAAAAACCCAGTACACATCCCCTCCAGGGCAGGACCAGCTTCTGATCTTGAGTGAAGCCACTGCAAGCCGCCACGTGGGAAGCATCGCCAGTATTCAATGGACTGGGCAATGACCGTGAACGGAGTTGCAAACCCATTTGGTAGTATTTCGTCCGGACTGTCTCTCCTAGGTAGGGATCCTATCTCGACCCAGTCCCGAAGCTGTTCCAAGTTCCGTCTTCCCTGTGTTTCTCGAAGTCGTGGTTCAATTTCGACCAGTGAAGCCCAGAGCTCAGGAATCTTTCTAATAGCATCCGCAAATGGTGCGAGAGAAGGATCCTGGACGAGATCACGCCGGATGCGCTCTGCACTTGAATTGCTGGGCCAAGAAATTTGAGGGCCAAATATAACCAGTGCTGGCTGTTCCATGATTGCCATGGGGAACGATCTTGATTGATGACACAACAGAGTCTAATTAAGTGTTCAGAGACTATTGAACTTGTTTTATCGTAACCCAAAGAGCCAAAGTCGGTTTGTACGAATCTGATGAGGGACTAAGGATCAATTGGCTGTAGATATTCTTTTTTCAAGACCATGAACCATGGAGGCTTGTGGGCACATTTTCTATAGTAGATTCCCTGATCGGGTCGTATTACTCTCTATCGGGGCATGAAGCCCAACCGTTCGGTCTAGCCTAATAGAAATAGGTGAGATTATAGATCAGGTCGGCTAATCTGCGTGAGCCGCTTCAGTATGGGGGCCGTTATCACACAAACATGGGGGCTGATTTGCTCAATTCCGTTCCGGCCGAGCGCCACCTAGCTATATCCATAGGAGATTGAAAGCCCTCAAAATAAATACTTTGGGCGTGTGGAGGTTTGCACCAAAAGTGTTGGCGCTAGCCTTTGCTTGTAACTTAACCAACAATACTGTTTTACAGAAACAGCAGATTACACCAGTGCTAGCGCTTACACTTTGGATGCACTCCGTAAGAAAACAAATAACTTTCTGGATCAAATTCCGCGATAAGAAAGACGAAAAATACACCGTTAAATTAAGTCAACGTCAACTGGGGCGATACGTACTCAATGAGAAGTCGTCTCCACGGCCACGGGTAAGGCTCCGGGGCTTTATCGCCCCCAACCGCCAAAATAAAGACTCCACTCATTGATTTACAGCTAGTACAGAGACAGGACCATGTGTTCCACGTGAGGTGCATAATTCTTACGTTGCCCTTGCAGAATCGCAGCTTTGGCCTCCATTCATCTGTGATTGCCTGATCGCTCCAACGTTTACGTGCACGGGGGCGAAAATCAATGTCCCCACTAGTAGTGATGAGGGGCTTGGTTGGTGCACTGAACCACTCGGGTACCCAAGAAAGACTGTGAGATGTGATTGGTTGGAGTGACTCAACTTTCGTTCGCTCATTGATTGTGGATTTTACACCCGGGAATTTCCAGAGACGCTATTCAGCCCATCTCTCCACCGGCGCCCCCAACTCCACATTCCCATATTCAGTGCATCCCGTTTTAAAACAACTTGGAACCATATACGGTCCCTACACGTTGATAGTGCTCTAATGCAAGAAATATCTTGGTCCTGTTCACTCTTCCCGTGGATACACATGCGTATGGGAACTGAGCTTTCCGGAATTCGAAGGTGAAAACAACGTGCTTGATCTACCACGCTTGGAGTGGCACGCTTACATAAAGGAAGCTTACATAGAGGAACGTCATTTCCAGCATGGATGTCGGTGTAAAAGGGTGAACTGAGTAACGGCTCAATAATCTTTGAAAGGTAATAATAATAATTAAATTGAGTATCTGGAGATATGCCGTCCTCCAGCGCTTGGGGGCTTTCCAAGCGAACAGCTTAGTCTCGTCGAACTTGGAACTCGTGGGTGATGTTTATCGCACCGTCATGTATTTTTCCAAAGGTATCGGCCTTACCCACGACGGGGGCCTCATTGGTGAATGAGCAAAAGGTCAATTCGAGGTCAGACTGATCATACTCCGCGGATCGATGACCTGTGAGTTTATTTTGAGTGGCAAAAGAATTTGAAGAGTGCGACTGTCTATGGTGGCTGGATTTGCCTCGAATGTATCCTTTGCCAGCTTGGCGAAGTTTCTTGATAAATGGGCCATAAGTCATAAGGGAACAGCAAATCAAGCCAGTCACGGGCTCGACCGCAGACCACATGCCTAATTCGACGTATCCGTCTGTCATCAAATGTCAGATTCTTTCACTGGCGCATCTAAGTCTCATGAAGCTAAAGAACGTACAGGTCAAGTCTGTGTCTGTCGAGTGAAGTGTATCTGCGAGGCGGATCATACTAATGACGGTAACGAGCAATCCCAAAGAAAAAACAAGGATGGCACCAAGCTTTTGTGCCGATTGCAAATGCAGACCCCAGACGACTCGAATGGGCATGATGAGAATAAGTAGATCGAAGAATATTGTCGGACCGGACTGCGCGATGAATATGTTCGTCTGCGTGACGCAGAATTTTGCCTGCTGTTCTGCAGTTCCCTTCCAGGCCAGATCAATTGGATGGCATCGGAAAGCCAGGACCAATTCATTGGCCAAGACCCAGGCAATGACCATCACACCGATGACATAACTCATGTAGCGGATCCAACGATGAATTCCAAACATCCGAATATACAGTGCCAGGCACGAGAGCTTGAAGAATGCTAGTCCCAGGTTATAGAACAACATCAGAATGTACAGGAACAGACTGTATGTAACCAGTTTATCAGCTGGCACTGTTGCCATTGGTCGTCCGAAGCCATTATTGATTTGAACGAAGTCGAAGATGGAAGGCAGGATTGCAAATGGCTGTGCGGGAAAAGCCTTTCTATTAGCTTCTCGTGGAACGAGTAAGATGTTTTATTAGGGTTGAGGGGGGAAGCAGGCGTACGAGTCCCACGATGCATAACCAATCATCCCACCACAATTTGACGTTTGTCATGACCCGTGCCCAGATGCGAAGAGCGGTTGCTAGAATGGCCAGAACAACCATAGGTACACAAACTCCAATAATGATAGGCACACGAGTTGCACTGGAATCATATCCTGGAGACGAAGTGGATCCCATTTTGGTCTTTATCGAGGTGTATACCACAAAAGCGGAGTGTTGTCCCCTTCAGAACGAGGAGCACAAAATCCAAGACCTCATGAAAGTCTATGGTGCCGGAATATCAATACGTCGGCGAGGACTTCGGTTTGAGGCAGGTTGCCTGGCGGGCTGGGGGAACCTGAACTCTAACAGTTACGCTAGCCAGTAAATGCCGGCTGTGATCTTGCAAGAATCCTTTCTCATTTAATTCTGTGTATGTTTAATACTTATGCACAAGAAGGGGGGCCAAAATGCCTGAAATTAATCACGTTGGTGGGGGCCAAGGAGAAATGATTGTGACAAATGTCCTCCGACGGGGGCGGGTCCCACTATATCACGATACTCGTATTGACAAGGCTGTTATTTGAATTGTTATTAACCTTTGTGGACGGGGGGGCGGGGGGGCGCGGCTCCTTTCGCCTATAAAGTTGTTGTACTTAAAGTAGATGCAAACCGGCGGTTTTGCGGACGGATCTCAAAAGGGGACCGACAGGGTGGAGGGAGCCAGCAAGATAGAGGAATCTGCCGTGAAACTTTTTTACTAGTTGAAATATATATTCCTTAGCGCTTATCAGGAGGGGAAATAAATGATGTGGGTTGGAACTCCCCTCGGGAGACTTGCGCCACAGTACACGTAGCTACGCCAATCACAATCATGCGCGGCCGTGGATCTTCTTGGGGGCCATATGGTTACGTGACATGAGGCTGGCGAAAAGTGCAAGTAAGCCCAAAAATTTTGACAGGGATCTTGTAATTCCCTCATAGTCCTTCGATGATTTCGCTAGTTCGAGACCTCAACCGGGTGGCATGAGAACCCCGCCAGCTGTTACATTGGACTCAATGAAGATATAAAATCTTACTTTGTCTCAAGTGAGAGGTCATTCACAGCGCTCATTCCACACGATAAAACAATATACTATTATCTATTCCTCTACAGAGTGACATTCGAACCAATTGACATGATGAGCAAGACCTACGAATATGTTATCTGTGGAGGTGGTACCGTGGGATGCGTTCTCGCAAGTCGCCTCTCCCAGGCGGGACACAGCGTACTGGTCGTCGAGGCTGGTCCCGAAGACTACAACGACAAGATCATGAGTCCTGTTGCTGCACCGCATCTCCATGGCACTGAATGGGAATACAACCTGATGACAGCCAAGCAGCCAGGACTGGGCAACCGCTCTGTTCCCAATTACGTGGGCAAATTGCTGTCGGGCTCTAGTGGCATCAACTACGGTCTGTGGACTCGAGGTCACTCAGTCGACTATGACTCCTGGGCGAAGGCAGTGGGAGACGAGCGGTGGAACTATGCGAATATGCTTAAGTTTTTCAAGATGGCGCAGACTCACCACGATCCGACCGGTAGCCCTGAAAAGTATGGGTTCAGTGGGCCGATTTCGACAACGGCCGCGGCTCGTACCTACCCGCTGCGAGAACAGATCCGCAATGCAATGTTGGCTGCGGGTCTGGAATACAATCCTGATACCAACGGCGGCAGTCCTCTTGGCTTTGGACCATTCACGGAGAACTGGAAGGATGCTCTCCGACAACCAGCCAGCAAGGCCTACGATCTTTCCAAGGCGACAGTGCTGACGAACTCCGTCATCGCACGGGTGAATTTCGACGACTCCAAGACGGCTACCGGTATCACACTGACCGATGGGACTCAATACACGGCATCGAGAGAAGTGCTCGTGACGTGCGGTGCTATCAAAACACCTCAGTTGCTGATGTTATCCGGCATTGGACCCCAGCAGCATCTCGCACAACACAATATCCCCACCATCGCAGATCTACCTGTTGGAGAAAATTACCACGATAAAATCTCGGCAACCTTCTTCTGGAAGCTACGGAACCCGGAGAAGGGATATGCACTTGGCTCCCCACTCTTTAACAAGCCCGAGTTTCGGCACGGCAACCCCATAGAATGGGTTGCAACGGTTCCTACACCGCACGCAGAGCTCATCGAGGCCGCCCAAAAAGACAGGATCGACGCGGAAGACCCTTACCTACAAGAACCCCGCGGCAATGTGGAAGTGATGGTAGCCTACGCACCAATCGCCGGTGGTGGTTCCGAATTCCGGGTCCCTATGGACGGAAACCACATCAGCAGCCCCGTGGTTCTCCTTCTTCCAACCAGTCGAGGTAGTGTCACGCTCGCGAGTGCTGATCCCACTGCTGATCCAGTACTGGACCCGAGATATCTCGACACTGAGACAGATCGTGCCGCCATACGCGCTGGTATGCGAGTCGCCTTGCGCGTTATGGAAACAGATTCTGCAAAGGAGGTTATCGATGGCGAGACACCGCCGCCGGGCCATGAGCCCATCACCAGTGCATCCAGTAATGCAGACCTAGACCGACGGGTGCAGATTGTGGGGAGTAGCTTTTTCCAAAATGGAGGTACGGCCGCCATGGGGACGGTGGTGGACACCCAGTGTCGGGTTAAGGGTGTTCAGAACCTTCGAGTTTGCGACGCTAGTGTGCTTCCTTTGCCACTGGCAGGTCATTACCAGGCTCCTATGTATGCTTTTGGAGAAGCCGTGGCTGATATGCTGCTTGCTCAGTAGGAGTATCTTCTGTATATCCCTGAATACATCACCCTTTTTTGAGCCAATTAATTCGGACTAGTAGCACTCCCAAACGATGTCAAGAGAGAAGTTGATCGGATCACATCAGCCAACTTCTGGGTGAAGGAGGGGCCCTAATCTACACCTTCTGATATTATCAGATTTTGCACTCTCGAGCTATAGCCCAGCTAAATGTCCGTGCATGATGTAAGAAAGGAGGTTTCTGCTCCAAGTTTTGCTTGCCTTGCAGTAGTTTCCGGAAATGATGTTGTACTGATTCTTGCTATTACTCCTGTGAAATTCCCCTGCACAATCCTAGTGCTTCCTTGCAAGGGTAACCATGGTTTCCTGAGGCCCAGAAGCTCTAATAAGAGATATACATATATCTAGGATCATAAGTAAGATAGACTAGGAACAACTGGATTGCGGTATAGTTCCAAAGAACATTCCTGAAAGCCGGTCGCTCAATCCCAGAACTACTGAAACAGATGTTCCTTAAGAAACTTTATTATTCAAAGTAGATAGGTTGGTTCATTCTGGATTAGGATTGACTATTGTACATGTTGAAGTTAAGCTTTGGAGTATATAGGAAGTCAACAATTCAGTATGAAACGGTTTGGCAGCACCGCCGACATTGGCCTGGAGTGCAGACATCACAGCGGCAGGTGGCCGCAGGTAGATCATTCCATGTGGCAGGTGGCATCTATGTCCCGGAGGCGATTTGGTCCAGATGCACAAGGATGGCGGCAATGCAGCGGGATTATAGTGGGCGCCTGACAGCAGGTTTTCACTTGCCTTGACGTAATGATGTTCCTTTGTTTCTCCTCTTTGAATGTGGTTGGTGCAGGAACGTTGCTGCACATGGACACTGGTAATAACAAGCATTTTATGAGTTTTAAGCAGATCTAAACGTGCTGCAACAATCGCTGCAGTGGAGCTTCGCTGGTCATGACAGCCATGGCTGTTTGTTTGTCTTGGTTTTTTTTTTTTTTTTTTGAAAACATTTTTCTGTATCTAGTAGGAGGCCATAGAGATAAGCCCTCATCTACCGGTCGGAGCCTCGTATGCGGTCCAAATAATACCGAGTCGAGTAATGTATCATACGTGTTTGCTTACATGTACAATACGGTTTTATGTTATACACAGGACACGTGTGTAATACCGCCCAACTAGTGCTTACTCTATATATCTCTCTCTCTGTGCGCGCTGCCCTGCTTGCAAGTTTGGCCCCCAACTAGTGCTTACTCGCTCTGCCCGCTGCCATGCTGGCAGGTTTGGCCCCCAACATAAGCAGGCTGAATCTCTACGGCCCCTTCCTACCGAGGCATCGATCATACCACCTGAAAATCTTCCGGCGCGCAATCCTCCCGCGTCAATGTCCCGTCAAGTCTCATCCTGGATCTGGCCTTTAATGATCCCGGTAGCCATTTGGGGGCCAGAAACGCTTCTTTTAAGCGGTGTTGTATCATATTCGGGAACCGCAAGTTAGGACTTGAGGCTTAGGCCTGATCCACGAGGTACTGCCTGATTACCTAGGCTCTTTTAGCATCTGGGCTAGTCCTATATAGGTCTAGACATTTTGAAGGGGAAGTTCGATATATGATTGGCTGTTCTCGATATGGCTAGTCCGCAAAGAGACGGCAATACTCGATAGGTAGCAGTAGTTGGGATGCAAGAATGCGAGACTAGGCAGCCCATTGAAGCACCCCCGATGAATATAGGGTCACCGGCGCGGTGTAACGCATGGTTTCTAATTTTAAGCTGCGGCAATGACATCTCCGAGAACACCGCTTCCTTGCGAGTCAATGAGATGGGGATAGGGATCCAAGGAGATATTGTCCCAGAGATGGCTGTCTGGAATCACCCATCGTCTTGTGTATCCATGCTCTTCCACATTAACTCGCTGAATCACTTCCTGATAGTTAATCGAGTTAACACCTTGTTGGCCCCCTGGTATGTGTTGGGAATTGCTTTGGTTGTAAGATAGCAACACGTAGGTTAACAAAACTGATACTCTGATACTGGAGCCTTATTAATATCATGTCAACTGAATGCCATTAAATGCTCCTTCTGTCATATTGAGATGCTTGGTTATTGCTCAGGCAATCAACCTCGGACCAGGAGACAGAAAGTAGATCGTTGTCTGTCTGCAGCGGGGTCTGACCCGATCCCCTGGCAAATATATGTTACTAGTATGTATAGCTAAAATCAATACTGCCATGAATGCTGGTCGTAGTATTCGCTTGTACACTCGGTTCTTTGCAGACGGAGCTATGGCCTTGCTGCTGGCACTACTCCTACTTAAGTTGAACACAAAAACAATGATGTTGCCACAGCTACCTCAGAGACCGGATGGTACTTGTGCTATCTCTCAAATATCATGATAATATTCTGGGATAGGAGAAATAGATATGACTGTTATGAATCCCCCTTTTACCTACATATTTCTAAATCACTACCTTTCGCAGTCCTCTTCATCACGCTTCCCTATCTCTTCAATTGTCCTCTGGTTTGAACGCATGGGCTGAACTTGGTATCCTATACAAACAACCACCTTCCTACCTATGACCGCTGCGATGGAGTCTCTGCTACCTGTTCAAGCTCAAGTCAAATACAATCTTCCCGCTGGTGTGCCCAGTCGCCAGCCTTTCAAATGCTGACCTAAAATGTTCCAACGGCCACACACTATCCACCCTTCCCTGACACTTTCCTAATTCAATCAACTCAGTGACCGCCCCCAGCTGATTGCCACTTGGCTCCATTACAAAGAATATATCCTTAACACCTCTTGCACTCGGATCCTTCCATGGACATAATGTTCTGGGAGGTTGGAAGATACTCACCACTGTGCCTCCGTCCTTCACAGTCCACCAAGCATCCTCGAGTGCTCGTCCTCCTACACAGTCAACAACCACATCTACCCGCCTTCCCTCCTCCTCCTCTACCCAGGCCTTCAGGTCAGTGGCTCGATAATTAACAGCCTCCTTGGCCCCCATAGATCGCACCAGGTCGACGTTGTCGGGTCCACACGTCCCGATCACCTCGACGCCCAGCACCCTCGCTGCAAGCTGCACAACCCACAGTCCCACGCCCCCAGATGCAGCCGTGACCAGGATTCTTTTGCCTTTCCATGCCAATTGTGCTCTGGGGATATCCATCACAGCCTCGGGAGGGACTATCCCGGCGTTGATGAAGAGAATTTGCCAAGCAGTCTCGGCTGATACTGGCACCGCAGCAGCCTCAACCCAAGTCAAGCTTTCTGGCTTTCTGGCGAGCTCGTCCGTAGTAGCGATGGTATAGTCACGAGCGTTGCCAGGTCTGACATAACTCGTACGAGCATAGATCTCGGCCCCAGGTTGAAATGGGGAATCTGGGGGCGCGGAGACAACGGTACCGGAGACATCGGGACAGGGAATTAGAAGGCGTTTAGTGGGTGGGGGGAAGTTTCTAGGCCAGAGAAGCTCCCCAGCGCAGGGAGAGCAGGCATGGACATGAATCAGGTGCTCGCCTTTGGCTGGGTTGGAATTGACGGCTACGTCGGTTTGGAGGGTTAGACCATCTGCATTGGATTCAGCGGTTGGTTGAATCAGGGCACGTGTGGTTTCAGTAGACATGATGATTTTAGGGCTGTGGTTGTGGTTTGTAAATTACGAGTTAACAGAGAGGGTAGATGCATATTCGATTCTGACACTATGAAGTGGTGATCGGAGGGATGATATGTATAACCATGAAGTATGATCCTGGCCCTCGTATTCAGAGGGGTACACTCTCAAATCCCCGCAGCTCTCTGGCCAGATTGGCTGGCATGAATGGAATCTTAGATCTAGACAGGCGATTTTCTCGTATTCAGTTCGACGATGCCCGGTAGGGTAGCATTCTAGCAATAATGACGAAATAACCTTTCATCCGGTTCCAACCAAGTTTCCGGCTACTAGAGTGCTAGTTCACCAGCAAGTCAGCCCTACTCCGCGTGTGGCAATATCCTTCACACGTGGCTCAGTCGCATGGAATTGAAGGGGGACCCATATCAGCTATTTGGGTAATGAGAATGGTACCTGGGCGAGTCTTGCAAGACTGGCTCCACATTCCTTTCACTGTGCAGAGACTTCCATACCCAGTCACGTAAGAAAGACGCAAAAGATCTCTAGATCGCGATCGGTCAGGCTCTACTGTCTGCAACACTGCCCGTGTATAGCGGCTTGGTTCGATTGACCCTTTTAGCCAGCAGCTCTCTGAAGTCCCAGGATAATCCACCGACCATTTACGAAGGAAATTTCACTTTTGCTAATCTCGATAGATCTCAACATTTGTTGTACACTTTCCCCCGCATGGAAAGTCTGGGGTCGGGCCCGCTTTCCGTGCCTCCACATCGGAGGCGGCGCTTACGTAGCCAAGCAACTAGTCTTCTGCAAGCACAGTATCGTTGCCAATAACGCGATACTTCTAAAAGAATTCGTCGGAAGGTTTTCATCTTCGGACAACGTGGGGAACATCGGAATGTGGGCATTCGAGGTTCATGATCTTCTGGACTCCCTGGCAGCCTATGCTGATTGCTTCGACGAGTCGTAGTGATTCCTGGGCGCAAGTATCAAGCTATTTAGATTGCATGCTGGCATAGCGGTCCGGTCGGCATTTTAGTGCAGCATTAGATGTGCCTTTTAAAGGCTCTCGTGTATCTTGCCTGGTATCTAAGAAAGTATCGTCATAGCAATAATGAGGTCTTTGTTTCTAAGTACAGTGGCAAGCTTCGTCCTCGCAGCGGGAGCTTCCCCAATGCCTGCCGCCTCGCTAATTGACCAGCGCGCTTCAGAGCCAGCAAAGCGTGACTGTTCCCGAGAGTGCATGGCAACAATCGTGGATCAAATTCTGGCTTCAATGGTCGTGCACAACCCGTACACCCTGCCAATGGCTACAGTATATCAGGCTACGGAAAACTCTCACCCCGCAGCGCTCGGGATGATGACAGCCTGGCGAACTGTCACCAAAGCAGGACCACCCAGTTTGCTCGCAATCGACACCACGCAAGGGTCGGCTTATTTTGCATTGGACGTCAGCGAAGGTAGCGACACGACGGAGTCCGTCCTCAGGGGACGAGTCAAGGTTATTGACCAGGAGATCACCGAGCTGGAATTGTTCATCAACCGCTACCGTGGGGACCATGGCTTCTCCTTCTCAGCCGCTGAGCTTCCCAGAAATTACGAGGTCTTGATGTCACCTCCAGATAACCGGACAAAGGCGAGTCGGGCAACATTGACGGCCCTGAGTGAGGCTCTCTTTGCCACCTCGAGTGATTTGTCCGTGAGCATCGACGCCAACTGCCAGTTTACCGAAGTGGGTTGGAAGGTCATCGATACGGGAACATACGACAATGGAACGACCACCCCGCTTAGTTGCAGCTGGCCCACAGATCATCCTACTGATGAGAAGGCGCGCGTTGGTCTAGTCATTGATGAAGAGTTAGGCTTCGTTGTGACTAGCGGCATGATTCCTGGTAAGGTCTACCCTTACCAAAACGTCTCCGCCTTCATTCCGGACGCCATGACTTCCTCGCAGGAGGCTCAAGATGTGTGGTTGAACGAGGCGAAAGCACAGGGCACCAAAGGGCTTTTGGCTCCCACTGAGGGAACGGGGGAGACTCTCGAGGTGCTCCAATACTACAACGATGCGCTCCAAGCCATGCAGATTAATGTGTATATGAACGGTCCAAATATGACATCAGCCTGGTTGTGAAGATCGCAATGGTACAAAGCAGACTTATTCGATGGAAGTGCACTGATGTCTTTGGGGGAGCTGATCTGGAGTCATACTTTACTCGTCACATATATTTGTTTGCTAGCTGAACTAAATCTTCAGTCGACGCGAGATGTGGTGTCGGGGACTTTAGGGTCATTTGCTTTAGCACTCCTTCGTAGTAGTAGTAATAGTAGAATCCATATACCTGATATAGCCGGCCTTACTAGTGGCCTTGCTGTGCAGGTGTTCCCTAGGCTCCTAGGAAGGCTATTCGTGTACATACAAAATGCAAAAATAAGATAAAACATGGTGTTGACCCTGCGCCACTCGGCCCGGGTCCTGATGCTATTGCTAAGATGTCACGTGCTCTAAAAGCTTACCGAAGGGCACACCACATCTTGCTTTGTCCTCTGTCCCCTTAGCCCCCTGGAGCTTTACCTAGCTCTGCTTGGTGCTCTCTGTATAGTGTCCGTGTGGGTTGTTGCGTTTGCTCAGGCCTCGCCTGGCCTCTGCGGATCGCCGCGGATCTTCCTCGTGGCTGTATATGTATGACATGGCCTGCATCGCGGGGTGATACCCGCTTGCTGCCTGTATAATCTATATACCCAGCATCTTCCCCCAATGCCTTCCTACTCTGCGATTGGCGGGACCTCGTTGAACTGGTTCAAGAGCCCCGTTTGGATCATAAAATCAGCGACGTAGCGAGCCGCGGCTGGTTCGCTTACCAACGCGTCAAAGTCGTCCCAGTTGACTGCCACCCTCTGCTTCCTGAGCCTTTGTCGGAGCACAAGCTGGAGCCCGCGGAGTCTCTCACAGTCAAATAGAACGTGTTTCGGTGTCTGCGACCCCCTGTTGCAGCTGCATCTGTCCGAGTCTTTAGCACTCCCTCGCTTACCTCTATCTCGGTACTTAAACGTAAACAATCACCGGGCAGGTGCTGGGCTCTGAATCCTTGTATCAAGTTGAGCGCAGTGTATCAGCCTCTATCTTTCGGTCATGGTGAAAGTCAATAGACGCACTTGGAAGGCCTCCTGGAGCCTGATCTCGTACATTTGCATGTCTGCGTTATCCGACCGGTGGAGGTGGTTATAGCTCTTCGGCCACATATGCATCCATTCCTGCAGAAATGCTTCCTATTCTTCAAGAACCTCTTTCACATGCTTTGGGAGATAATAATTCCTCGCCAGTCCAGGCCAAAGAGAGCCATCTAATCTGACTAAACCGAGATTCATGGCCGGACACCCTGTGCTCTGATTCCGTAAGGTTTGACGCCAAAGGTCCACAAGGCTTTTAGCACGGAGAGCGTGGTCGTTCGTGGGCGCCTGTACAAGCAGTAGCAGTAGGAAACTGGAGACGGTTGCAAATCCGACACGGGACCCTAGCTCAGTCAGTATATCTCCAGCCGAATGTCTGACTCATCCATTGACAGAACATACATCTGTACCAGAAACTCGACAAATCACTAGTAGTCATACGCATCACCAGACGGATCACTTTCGCCGCACAGTTGTCGGCTGCTCTCAGCACCGCATTTCCCATGCCATTTTCATCGGACATGTCAATGGCCATGGACGGCTCAATCTCGTCGGCGTCAAACAACTGAGCCAGTAGATCGTTGAATTGGTTCGTGAATTCCGTTGTCTCGAAGCTCTCCTCGAGCAACGGAGGCGGAGCAGCCGAGCGAACCATTGGCCGCAGGAGAGCGCGGAATACAAAGACCTCTAGAAGGATGCAGGCGAAACGGAGGCAGTTGGACTGGCAGTATATGCTGTCCATAGTAGTAGGCAAATGATCGGGCTGACGTACCGATACTGGGGAGTGCGCGTACCACTCCTTGAGCTTCTGCAGAAGAGGACGGGCGATTTCCAGCGTTGCATGAAAATCTGGCGATAAACGCTGCGACGCCTTTAGCGTGCTATGGGGCCAGGGGTGGTCAGTATCGCGTAAATTAACATTACATTCGTAGTTGGGGGACCTACAAGAGGGAGCGTTGTAGTTCATCAGCGATGCGCGACAACTGGATGAATTGCTGGAATGGTTGAGCACTGAGAATATCGTGAGAAGAGTGTGAGGCGGACGGGGGTTGCTGTAGGGCCAGGCGCAGACTTTCGGACATGACGAAATCATCATCGTTGAGATCTGCGGCATCCCAATCGTCGCTTCCTATATAAGATGGACGCCCGGTAAGCAAGCAACGCCATTTGTCTTCGGCGTAGATGGCCCACCAGAGCCGACGGCGAATCCTCTTTTCCCATAACGGAAGTCCCATTAGCCGGCAATCCAACTGAAGCCCAAGTGACATGGCCACACCGACAAGCATGCCCACCAAGGACCAGGTAAAGGCACTATCAGCCACAGCACTTTCAGTGACGCTGACTGGTCGATGAAGGTAGAGGATTCCTGCTTGGAGGGTCGATAGACGGGCAGTATGGATGTCCCGCAGCACAAGGTCAAGAACCATGCGCCAGAGTAGATCAGTTGGGGGAGGAGTGTACGCATCAAGCAAGCAAAGGTAGTCATCAAATTTGGCGAAAGGCTGTGCTGATGCGTAGATTGCAGCCAAAAGACACAGGGACGTCTTTTGAAGGATAGTCTGATCGGGCACTGTGCCTGCCGCTGCAAGCCCAAAATGCGACCGCGAAATGATCGGCAGCGTCGGAAAAATAAACCTCATGAAGCTGGAGAGACAACCATCTCATGTCAACTACTGAACGGATAAACCGTGGTAACAATGTCAACTTACAGCACTATCAATCTCTGGCCACATTCAGGGGGCACAAGATGATTTAATTGCTCATGTGTAGTGAGGGGTTCTGGCGGCAGCAGCTGAGCCTTGGAGGGCTCATAGAGCTGATCCGACGAGACCAGAAAATGACAGGGAATCTTCTCGTCAAACGGAACGCCCCCTGCGTTTCGGAAGTGCACTTGGTGGAAAGAGAGGAAGCCTCTGTCGTTGAACTTGCAGTGTCTGAGGAGCCACGGGTCAGATTCGGCTGACGTGCCATTGACCTGGTAGGATACACCCCCCAAACCATCGAGTGTCTGGATGGTTTGATGCGTGTGTCTTTCCTTGAAGGCAGAGGGGGTGTGCGGGCGAGTACCGCCTGGATCTGCTGAGAATCGCACCGAGTCTAGCTCGAAGAAAGGAATCTCGACCGCTTGATGCGGAACTGGGGGATCTTGGTCCACCACAAGTTCCTCGGTCGGTTGCAAATCGCCGGTTGCCACCGGTCGGGTTTCTGGTGAGAGCGGCTTCGGCGGCACGGTGCCCTGACGAGAACGAGGGCGAGGGCGAGGGCGAGGACGAACACGAGCAAAGGAACAAGAGTGACCCGCAGCTGTACAGCGCTGACAACTGCCGTTGTGATCAGCTTCACAGCGTAGCTTTCTCCGGCGGCATTCGTCACATGGTGGATGTCGTTTTGATCTATAGGGACGAATGGTAGGAGGCGGCGTACGAGGGTGGAGATGATGGGGGGTTATTGGATTTGGAGAATTTGACGCCATGCGACAATCAGTCGGTCGGTGATTTGCGAGTTCGAGGTGATTTTTCGGAGTACTAGTCAGACCAGCAACATCAATAATCGCCGCTACCGATCAAAGGATATTTAACTAATCCGCCGAAGTCAATTCGACAGCGGCCAAGAACGAGTTGGCCGAGGACTTCGCCGAATTCCTCGTTTGATTCGTTAACCGCCAAATGGCACCGCCGAATTGCTTGGCTCAAGCATCGCCGGAAGGCGCACTACTACTAGTTAGTAAGGACTTTTGCTACGACAGCTTCACTCCGTTTTGGCTGTTCTTTCGAATATACTGTTCTGATAAATTTTAATTGACTAGGACAATATTATGTAGATTTCCACTAGAAACCTCACAATTTCGTTGCTTCAATATCCCCCCGCCGTCGATCGGCGAAAGAAAAAAAACTCGGGCGCGTCGGTCACCATATCAAGAGGCTCGCAAGACATTCAAGTTGACCATCACCAGCGGTATCCATTTCCCCTACAACAGGATCCAAAGCATTGATCCCCTTTTGCGGATTAGCTCGTGAATAGTAATGATAAGGGATTTCGGATATGTGTGGCAGTGAGTCAGGTACCATTGTAGAACACTGGGTAGGATGGTGTGGAAGTCTCGCAACTCTCACTATATGTTGGAAGCATCGCTGTTTCATTTCTAAAGATTGGAGGTGAGCAAAATGGCTTGTAATCTTGAAGACTTCGGACACTCACTTGACTGTCGCCGTGTCGGGAGTTGGTGTACTCTGCCGTACGTCTCTCCTGTTCGGTTCATCCACCTTGTCCACAGGTGGGGAACGACAACATAGTCGGGCTTTGAGGCTAATCACTTTCTGTTTCAGATCCATGGTGAGGAGCAGAAACATGAGGCATTTCCCAGCGAAATTCACACGCAGCGCAAGTGGCCAGAGACGCTTTATATGTGCCAGGTATAAGGCCGAGGGATGAGTCTTAATACTACCTGCCTTTAGACATCAAGCACTTTGTCTTTCGGCCTTGCCTGCTTGTGCAGTGGTAAGACACCTCGTCGAGACAAGCCATCCGGCCCATTCATCAGCCGACAGCCATTCACTCATGCAGTGGGGATGACTACGTCCTGCATTTCGCCGATCTGGTTGCCTAGAAGAGCAACTTTGGCCTCAATGTTGACTTCGCCGAGAATTTCCCTGTTAGACTGCTCCTAAATCCAACACTTTATGCCATCATTACTCCTCACTATGGCAATACCAAAAAAAAAAAAAAAAAAAAAAAAAAAAAAAAAAAAAAAAAAAAAAAAAAGGCAATGTTATTCGCTTCTATGTCTATTCTGATGCATACTGTTGGTAGACACAGACGCACCACTACCCGACGAGATATACTAGTATCTCGTTTGGTCTACTTGGTAGTCAATTTCTGTCTTACTTGTCTATCGCAGCCTTTAGAACTTGACCATCAATTTCCAGCCCGCACCAATGCCCCTGGCAACAGCAAAGGCGACCGCGGAGGCCGCATACAACATGCCTCCGAAGACAATCAGGCCCCAATAGTCCCCCTGGTTCTGCTGCTGGATAGCACCTGCAATCGGGATGCCCGTCAATGTACCAACACTGGCTATGGTAAATGTCGTCCCGCTTCTCTTTCCCAGATCCTCCGTTCTACACACCTGCGAGATGCACACGGGGGTGAGACTGATGGCGGCACCGCTCCAAAAGCCAAACAGTACCGCATAGCAAATGACTGCAGGCATATTCGCCCCTGAAGCGAGCCATAACGCGAGTGTGAGCGCCGCACAGATGACAGATGTTACTACCATCACGTTGAACCTTCCGAGCCGATCTGCTACTAAGCCCGGTAGGAGCCGTCCTGGAACAGCACCTAAGTTGAGGAAGATACTTAGCGCGTACGCAAGAGTATTATCCAAGCCAACGTGAATCCCGTAAGATGAAATGTAGGTGATGGGGATGAAGACGGCGAATTCCACCAGGAAGACCGCTATCGTGGTTGCGGCATATTTCTTCTCCCGCAGAGCATGGAAGTCGACCGATGCGCCAACATTCTTGTCTTTGGGAAGCCGTGTTTTCAGCGTCAAACATGAGATCAATAAAAGAACAGCACTGATGAGCGCGATAATACGAATGGCCCAGGGAAAGCCAATTCGAGGTGCTGCAAAAAGAATAATAACGGGGAAGATGACTCCTCCTAAACCCCCGGCAGTGCAGGCGATGCCGGTCGCATATCCGCGTCGCACGTCGAACCAGTGTCCAATACAAGAAATTGCTGGAATGAAGAGGGTACACGCAGATAGGCCGCCAAGAACACTAAATGAGAGGAATATCTGGTAGAATTCTATATCAGTCAGTCAGCATCAACTGTACCACTGCTGTACGGACGACAGATGCTCCCTACCCTGGCTGAAACTAAAGCCAATCAGTGCTATAACCATGCCAATCGACCCTGGGATAATAACATAATTGGGTCCATGAGTATCCAATATTGGTCCTGGGATTTCTCAGCGCGAGTAGGTCTCAACGTGATGGGGGAGGTCACTGACCGGTTTGCGCTCCAGCGGCATACAAGAAGAAGCTGTATGCGCCAAAGATCCAGCCAATGCTGGACTCGGAATAGTCTTGAAGCTGGTGCTTACTCGTCCACGCATGGAGAATGCCCAGGCAGTTAAGCAATCCCATGGAAGGGATCATCGCACACCATGCTCCAAGCACCACAAACCAGGCCTCGAGTCCGCCCTCGGGATATACATGCGACAAATCCGAAAGTTCATCGGTCTTTGGAGGGGACGCGGGCTCAGCGGTCTCTCTCTTTATATTCGTAACGGGAACACTATGCTCCATTGCCACACCAGATCCAAAGGTCAGGTCACTTTGTGATGTACTCTGCTGCGAAAGTCCAGCATGGAAGCCCGGTATCGGCCTCATGAAATACCCTGGACGACCACGATTCCGTGAGAAGCCCTTTACTAATCGCTAACCGGAGATCGTTCGACAAAGAGAATTAGTCCTCATCATAGGCGAATCAGACCCTGATGTGCTAGAGATGCTTCCTACTACTGATTTTACTGCTCGATATCATCTTGCTGGCCTTCGGTAAACATCGGTGTCCTCATTCGGTGATTGGTTGTCCGCCTGTGTGTGGAGCAACGCTACTAGTAGTGCCAGTAGTACTTCGGCGAAAGGGCAGCTGACTGATGAGTAGAGAACAGAAATAGATGGAAGGCTCGTGCAATTTGTTTTATTTGGGTATGTATCACTTCAACTAACGGTACCCCTCAATCATCATAGCGTTCAAGCTGCCCACAGCGCCACCTTAGCCCCATTTTTCGACATCAGCATCGCCGACAATTCCTCCTGCCATGGCTGCGAATCCCGCCCCTCCATCTTCGGAAACAGCTGCATCAGACGAACTGTAACATAGCTGGTAACGGTGAGCGCCCACTGCCGGCCCACACATCCGCGGGGGCCGGTTCCAAAGGGCATGAATTCCTCCCCGGGCTGACGAGTCGCCCACCGATCCGGCCGGAATTCTTTGGCATCCGATCCAAAATAGTCCACTCGGTGATGGAGGGAGTACATAGTGCATACCATCTGGGAGCCCTGGGGCACCAAAAGAGGAGACTGTCCATCAGGACCACCACCGACCGGAAGCACTGTGTCCCGTTTGGCCACGCGGTCAACAAGCGGGATCGCGGGCATAAGTCGAAGAGCTTTGTACAACAAGAGCTTTGATTAGCCAGCGTACGGGCATAAGAGCACTTGGGAGAGGGCATGCCTGACTACTTACCTTCATTAATGCAGTATCGCAAGTACTGCAAGCGCGGTAGCTCCTCGTAGGTTGGCTGCCGACCCTGGAGTGTGGACGAGATCTCCGCCTGCAGCTTCTGCCACACTGTCGGGTGTCGCGCCAGCATGGAAAACAGGTTACTGAGCAGGGAGGCTGTAGTGTCCCCGCCTGTCAACAGCATGGTCATGACCTCACTACGGAGTCGCCAACGGTCGGTTGTCTGCTCAAGCCATTCATACAACGGAACATATGGGCGCGAGCTGGCGCGGGAGGATTCTGAAGCCAACGATGACTTCTTGCTATCCCGTTTGGCCTTCTGCTGCAAGGCCTCCTCGACTAATTGGTCAACGAATGACTGGCATATGCGATAGCTCTCCCTCGTTCTTCGATCGAGAAAGAAGTACCGCAAGATCCCGAACTGATGCCGACGCGCAACGGCCTTTTCGGCATAACGCAAGGCCTCCCTGAATTCATCAACTTTGGTCGGTTTCTCATCCGATGCCGCCATCTGACGAAGACTATGTATTGACTGGCCCAGCTGAAGCTCGCTCGCGGTGTCCAGTGTATACCTGAGGAAAAGCGGCTGCAGATCCACGGTGCCCCCATCACGGGGCAAGAGGGAGACTAGATCCTGCAAGGTTTGTTCTAGGGGCTCGAAATTGGCAAGCTGACTCCGGCCGAAGCTGCGCCGCGTAATGGCTCGAGAATGAGCCCAATCAGCACCATCTGTAACTAAGACCCCTACACTAACCAAGGGACCGAACGATCTTTTACGACTCGCAATATTGTAGTCGTCTGATTTGAGGGACAGAATAGTCCGAATGTTGTCCGGCTCACAGGTCATGACTGTCCGCCGGTTGAGGTGTCTTTGGATTATGGTGGTACGTCCACTAGAGCGGAAGTCAAGGTCTACTGCCTCAAGGAAGCGGTTCTTTCGAGCCGCTTGCCAAAGGATGGCAAGATGGTCGATGCCAAACGGAAGCCCAAGGCGGCGACCTTTTGGCGCAGACTGGCATCCATGAAGCAGGCGGAAGCGTTGAGAAGAGATTGCACGGAAAGCACGATAGATGACCTGGAGGAGAAGTGGCCAAAGTAAAGCAATAATGGTTAAGGTGTGCAGATCATGTAGTGCCATGATGGACGAGGTGGGGAGATGTTATGCGTGAATGTTGGAGACGAAATGGGGTCGGTCCTTTGAGCCAAGGGAATCCGGGACTATCAACTTATATCGGATTTCTTCCTCTCCCAGATCTTCTTCGGACTATGGATCGCATTCAGTCGGCAACCGATGCACCCATTACATATATGCAATGCAGAAATAAACGTTCATCGGCATTGACATTGAAACACACTATAGTAATTCTACATGAATAATTGATGCTCATATTGATTTCGTCGCCACCCATGAAAGGCAACTCAGAAGCATAAATGAACAGATTTTGTCATGCATCATGGCGACTTTATTCCTGGGAATGCATCGCCATACTGGTGGGGCTCGGCGAGGTGGGAGCACGTCCTAGTCCCCAGATTTCTGCTGTCCTGAAATGACAGGTCAAACCCTGAATAGGCATATAAAGTAGTGTGCCGGGTTTTCATCATCGGATTAGCAATTAACACAGACAATATCGTGGGCCTAAGCATCTGCTGTTCTCCAATAATTGGCCCGCATTCGGCAATATCTGAACTGACGACACGATATCAAATTAGGCACCTGCGCGGGACACGCCGTGGGGGCCGCAGTGTTCTTCACCGCCAATAAGTAGTCTGGCTGCATTTGGGACGATATCCTAACCCCACACAATATTTCATGGCAGAGTATAGCAACGTTCTTGATGAGGTCGGACACGAACGTACACAGTGGGCTGGCCGGGACTAGGAAGAAATTGAGTAAGTGTATTCTTCTGCTTGTCCTCTGTGATCTCCAATCCAAAGCCTTTCCAATATGAATACTCTGATCATTGTCTCCCATAAAGTGGTTGGTGCAGATAAAATGACGTCTCATGCGAAGTCTCCTTCCATGCTGGGAGTCACTTCAATTGTGGCGTTACCTTAGGCGCCCTAAAGATATGGACTTATTCACACGCTCGATCAATTTACGTACATTCATTTACTAGTTCGCCCGCGTTGGGTCGAAGGCATCTGGCTCACCGTATCAAGAAGCCTACCTGGCATTGATGCCACTGTGACTCGAGGCGTCGGTTGCTGTTATGGCGGTTTTGTAGTATATACTTTTATCTACTTTTCCTCAATCCTCCAAATACAGTCGCAGTCAGTAACATGGAGCGGTCTATGTTGCGTACGCGTCATGGTCTGCTAGAAATACTTCACCATTCTGGAGCAATAATCATTCATCTATAATCCTGGACTATTGAACTATAGATGTCGAAGCAGGTGCCCTCTATCCTCATCTGGGCTTTGGCCGGCCTCCTTCACAGAATTGTTCTGCTGTGAAACCTTATTTGCCCTGGCCAGCGTTCTTCATTGTCCACTGGGCAATGTTACCCGGGGGGTGAGCCGCAGCAATGGTCTTGCCAGCGAACTTGCTGATGATGCTGGTGTCCGATCCGGACATCGAGCCGGAGTTGCCGAAGGCGTTGAGCTGGCAGGAACGACCGAAGACGGAAGCGCACTGCTGGTTGGTGTTGGCATCGGGGGAGCTGAAGAGCTGGCCGCTGATGGGCGTCTCCACCACAGTGTTAACGTCCTGGAAGACGTTACCCTCGGCCAGGACGTAGCCACCAGTGCCGATCTCGAAGGCGTGACCGTCAAAGTTGTGGAAGAGGTTGTTCACCTGTAGTCAGAGTAGTCAGTGATGTGCAAATCATATAGGAGGCTCAAGGCGACATACGGCGTGCAGCAGAGTGTTACCCTGAACCTTGGGCATGCGGCCGCTCAGGTTGTAGAAGTAGTTGCCCTTAAGGGTCACCATGTCGTTGCTGCCGTCCAGGTACACGCCCCAGTAGTGGTGGCCGTTGCAGGTGGCAGAGTAGTCGGAGCGACCGTCGATGAGGGAGTAGGAGATGGTGACGCGGTTGTCGGCGCTGGTTCCCAGAACGATGTGCTGGCGACCAATGCGAGCAGTGGTCACATGGTCGATCCAGACCAGATCAGAGTCATCGACAGTAATGGCATCACCACCCCAGACATACTTGGGGTTGATGTCGGTAACGGCAATGTTCCTGGCCTTTATTAGCAAAGGGTCTTTTCACATCCCAAGACCGATGTTCTGCACTCACTGGATGATGACGTTCTTGGCACCGCTGACCACACGGAGACCCTTGCCCTTGATGACTCCCTTGGTGCCCTGACCAACGATACTCTTGTTGGAGTTGACCGTAATGGGGAGGATACCCGCCTTATCACTATACGGCTATCAGCATGGAAAGACAGGGTCACCAATCGAACGGGGACAACATACTAAGTCACGGATACCTTGGGGGCGCTGGCCTGGTAGTTGTCACACCAGCTGTGCAGGTTGATGGCCACCTGGCATTGGGAAGCAGTTCCCCAGGGGGCACATCCGGTGGTAGTTTCAGTACCCTCAGTGCCGGTGAAGTCGAAGCTGGATTATCAACCTGTTAGGCCCATGTCTACCCATCCATTTCCAATTGAGGATCAACCTACGTTCTATCCAGGATGATCACCCGGGGCTCGTTATCTCCGAGGTAAGAGACCAGCTCATCAGTAGTCGTGGGATAGACGGGGGAAGCGCTGCCACCGCCAGTGACACCATGGGCGAAACCCTCGGCGGCACCAACAACACCGGCGGCACTGACAGCGCTGGCCAAGGATGCTGCGGCAGCAGCAAAAAGCAGCTTGTAATGCATGTTGGGCTCTCAAAGCACAGAAAATATGAGGGAAAACAAAAAGAAAATATTCAAGAGAATGAAAGTCTAGTGAGAAATGTCAAAGAACGACGGCCTGGAAAGAGTGACAGGCTTGTAGAAGCAAGGAAGGTGATGTCTTCTTCTGGGTGGCACAGGAGAGGGGAACATTCCCAAGTTTATATAGAGAAGCCGGATTACATGATGGTGGAGCTGGCAGTCAGACAGTGGCCGTTTGATTTCCTTGACCATGTTCTGGAATGACACCAGGGGACCGGGGACAGGACCTGAAATGGATGAGAACCCAATCAATGTGGCTTGGCAGGTAGGTCTTGGTTCTTCTACCGGAGATTAACCTGTCAGTGGGTGTGGTGGCTTATATTTTAGAGTGTTACTACTGCTGCCCAGACATCACCGGACTCGCGGACCCAACATCTTCATTTTATCTTCTTGGGTTTAACGAGTCATGAGGACTATGATAAACCTTGCTGATCAAGCCAGGAACACAACGCCTAGCCTATCTGCCTAGACGCCGTTTGGGGGGACAGCCGGAAATCTCTTCCCATGCAGACCTTGAGTTCAGGGCGGACCCGGGAACTCCGGTGAAGAACGAGGTCGAGTCGCTTGGCAGAGCATAGGAATGGTGAGAGCCGGATGGTGGCCCACTTCAGGATGTCTTAGAAGCAATCCGGCTGGCTTCCGAAGGGGTGGAGGTCAGGGTTCCATGAACGGCCCTGACCTATTTCAAGGCTTGGTAGAGGGAGAAAAGTGGTACTCTCAGTCTGACAGTGAGACATTGCAAGAACCGCTCAAGAGTCCAGTGGAAATTATGGAAATTAGTGGTTGCCAAGAAGCCCCGATTGGGGGGGGGGGGGCGAAGCCCAAAGAGGATTAGCTGGTAAATCACGTGGCAGTGAGGGGTCACGTTGGGGTTTGTATTGTTTGTTTGATCTTCTTTGCTCTCACATGATGTGTTCGTGAGGCCTCAGGCATCACCTCTCCCATCTCTTTCGCCTCTTTTTCCCGTGAGTGCCATTGACCCAATAGTCTCTCCACCAATGCTTCCTTGGTCAGACTCACACATAACCAAAGGGGATGATGTATCCTTGTTCCCTGCGACTACTTACTAACTACTGGACTCGAGATGATGCTTTTCTTCATTCCAGACTCCGCCATTCTTAGGAGACGCAACTCGACAGTGCGTACATTCATGTACTGGACATGAATTGAGTGATCGAGATCTAGCTTAGTTCAACCACCAACTGTTGTAACTTGTAGCATCTCTAGTAGTGCTACTATGAATTAGCGTCGGTTTTAGGTCTATCCTCATGCCTTGACCTATCAATCATCGAGTAGTTAACTAGCCCGCGCTGACCCCCCACGCCAGCAAGGACGTTGTCTTCTTACTAGTAGTCGTTGTAAATATATAATCCCCCAGGGTCACGGTTTGTAGACTCGGGTCATCATCATCATCATCATCATCATCAACAACTTCTTTCACAATCCCTACTCCGAACCGACCAAGCAAGCAACCTAGTAGTAGTACTAGTACTATCGTCCCCATGTTCCAAGTCCTCCCCATTACAGAGGCTGACCTTCCCACTATGGTCGAGTTATGGTACGACGCCTTTCGTGATCCCATCAACCGGCGGCTGTATCCCGATACCCCCGGGGCGCGCGCCTGGCTAGAGGACTACTACCGCGCCAGTCTCCAATCCCCTGATCAACATTATCTTAAAATAGTCACGGATACCGCACCAACATCTCCCCTGGTAGCGTTCGTGAAATGGGACTTCAACACTACCACCCCAGGTCACCACTTTCCACCCCGCCATGTCGATTTCGACCAGCCCTTCTGCGACACTTTTTTCGGGGGCTTGGACCAGGCGCGACGGACCATCATGGGCGCGCGTCCGCACTACTGTATGTTCCTGTTCCTATATTCCCCAATCCTTATATCTTTTTTCCTACCATTGCAGTACCTTCGCGATGGACCCGCTAATGGTGACCCGTTACAGATCTGGACGCCTTGATCACCCACCCGGATTATCGCCGGCAGGGAGCGGCATCAATGCTCATCCAGTGGGGATGTGACCGTGCCGATCAGGACGGGATCCCCATATGGGTTGATTCTAGTCAGGAGGGGGCCCAGATCTACCAGCGCTTCGGGTTTCGTGATGTCAGTGTGTCGGGGGTGACTCCGACCGGGGCTATGTCCATGCGGCGGGATCCCGTTCATGGCGAGGCCGTGTAATAGCAGAGCTTGGGACTATTGATGTATCTACCAAAGTAGCCGTGTTACTGCCTTCTTACAACGCCACCGAGCCCTTGAGCGGCTGCATCTCGATATACTCGGTTCGTAGACTCCACTCGCGGGTCTCATGGATCACCAATCCCCCGCTTGCCTCCTCCAGATTTCCCCCGCCTTCCCTTGTCCCCGCTGGCGGAATCATGATAATCTCGTCATCTGCCGGATATGGACGCGATCGGGCCTTGGATGGAGGGCCCTCGCTAGTTTCCGACCGCAGATAGGAGCCATCTTTCTGGCCGCCCTGACCCCAGCCCGTGTTGAAGGCGATCACAAACGGCTTGAGGCAGGGCACCGTCGCCGCCATGAGACTGCTGTGCAGGAGGACTTCGGTGGTCACCACTACATTCGACATGCCCAGCAGTAGATTGTTCAATCCAACCCGATTGAGGTAACGTTGGCGCAGAATGATAAGGGCGACAATCCTTGTCAACAGTCAGCTAATGAGGTAGAGCCATATATGCAGTAGCAAGCAATGCTTAACTACGTACAGGATTCGAGTGCCAAAGGCCCCAATGACGCCGACCTTTTGAGTGCGGCGCATCTGCACTCCCCACACCAGTCGAATACTCAGGCCCACCAGAAGCGCCTCTGTGATCACGTCAAAGGCTGCCATGGCACGCCACCCCGTAATCTGGCTCTCTTAGCATGCATCCTGGTGTTTATCCGAAGGTCACAAAGGCAACTGACGAAAGAGCGGCATTGTGTGAGATCCCATGGCTTGGAAGGTTCACATTGTAGCGCGACAGCAAGAATTGAGGCGAGCACCCAGAGGACGAGCACACCGAGGCCCACAGTGCAAAGTCGTATATAGGCACCTTCTCGGCCCAGGCGCCGAAGAAGCAGGCAGACAGATAATTTGGAGGCCCCATGACTAGCGAGGAAGAGGAGATCGGCTGTATACAAAGCCTGTCACGACATCCCTGAGTCAGTAACTGAGACAAACGAGCATTCATGGTGGGAAAATAGAGAACTTGCCTTCATGGCACCCTCTTCGTCGCTCGGATTGATTCGTCCCAGACCCTGCGATACACTTTTCATAATGGCGCCCACATTGCCAATGCCTATTGCCTGTCTCGGCGAGAAGGATCAATTCACACATTCCAAACGGCAGTGAGCTCAAGAGCACTTACTCCTCCGATCCAGACTACGACATCATCCCATCCAGCCGGTCCGTTCATGGCAACCCGCATATAGACCCGGAACAAAGACACCAGCACCATCCAGGACATGAACAGCGTTGCGGCGATGACGATCACCCCGCTTCGGTCTGTCGGGCTGATCCCGTAGGGGGCTGCCATGTGTCGAAGGGATGAGGCTTAAGGGGATTCGGGACGATGGACAGAGGCATTGTTAAGGCTCTCACCCTGCCGGGACATCCTTATAATAGATTTTCACTCACCCCAGGCGGCCCAGAGGACAGGGGAGTGATCCCTAGGATCAACAGGTACCCTGGTTGGAAAGACGACTAGGGGAGGACAAGAGGGTGAAACAAGCCCAGAAGCGACCACACCAGAATTTTCGGTCTGGCCGTCGGTCGGAAATAAAAACCAGACGATAATTTTCTATCCGATCCCGGTCCATAGTGTTACGACCACTGTATAATAGGCCTGACGTGGCCAGGGTCTAGAGAAGGATGGCTACGGTGCAGACTGGCGGTGGCCAGGCCTCCTTTGGTAAGGCTGGGAGTTAAAGCACGGCCGACCGACAGGGATCATATTCCATCTTCTGCGAGGAGAATAACCTGTCAATCGGACGATGTAACGGCGGGCTGCAGTCTAACCGGGGTCCCTGGCAAGTGCTTCGGCGGTGCCATCTCTAGCCTGGGGACTAATGCTGCTAATTGCTGTTAGTCCTGCGAGCCACAGCAGAGAGCACCATGACGCTGCGTCTGTCCCACGTATTGATTAACCCTCCGATCCCCCCTTCATCTTTTTTAGCAGCCCAGGTTTTTGCTCCAGCTTATCGAGCAGTACATGTCAGGCAGAGCCAGATTTCAGCATGTGGCCTGAGAAAGGGAGCAAGTCGGTGGCCTACACCACCGCACCGGAGGAGGGCTCTATGCCCTCCACCAAGGGCGGAACCACTCAAGATGGCCGTGATATGTGGCGTGTGGGACGCGATCAGGAGTTGAATGTGAGTCCCTTCTAGGAGGTGGCTGCAATCCGGCTTCCTAGCTAACTGGCACAGCGAAATTTTCGATTCCTCTCGGTGCTGGGTTTCAGCGCCGTGCTGATGTGCACCTGGGAGGCAGTGTTGTTGTAAGTCAATGCAATACGAACAAGACACCGCGATAGAGTACTGATAACTGAACAGCGGTGCCTCATATGGCCTGACCGATGGAGGGAAAGGTGGAATGATCTACACCTACCTCGGTGTCCTCTGCGGATTCAGTTTCGTAATTCTCTCCATGGCGGAGATGGCATCCATGTGTGATACCCTCAAACACCAAGCTTTGCTTTTTCTCTCTTCATGCTGTGTGCTTTGATACTTGTAGCTGCTTCTAGGAATTGGCTGTTAACAATTGGCATATAGGGCCCCAACCTCCGGCGGCCAATACCACTGGGTGTCCGAATTCGCCCCGCCCAGTTGCCAGTGCCTGTTGAGTTATATTACAGGCTGGGTATGTGTGCTTGGATGGCATACAGGCATTGCTGGCTGCAGCTACACCGTAGCAAACATGCTAGTCGGTCTCTTGGCAATCAACTACCCAGATTCCTATGAATATAAGCCGTGGCACGTTACGTTGTTAGTCATTGCAGTGGCGTTGGCTGCACTGCTCTTCAACACGCTGCTGGCACAGAAGCTGCCGCTCATTGAGGGAATAATCCTGATTGTCCACTGTTTTGGCTTCTTTGGTATCCTGATCCCGCTGTGGGTGCTGTCTCCGTCAGTGCCACCATCAGACGTCTTCGGCTCTATTGTCGACCGTGGCGGATGGGGCAGCAACGGACTATCCTGCTTGGTTGGGGTGGTTGGGCCAATCTATGCTTTGATCGGTACGTCGCATTGACCAAGAGAAGCGATGTATATCGCGCCTTGAAGCGATACTGACTGATGCTCAGGCCCTGACTCGGCTGTTCACATGTGTATGTCTCTTCTTGCTGCGACGAGGCTTCTTGCATGACCAACTAACTCAGTAACAAGCCGAGGAGATTCGTGATGCCTCGCGCGTATTGCCCCTAGGCATGGTTTGGACGCTTATATTGAACGGTGCCACCGGGTTTGTCATGATTGTTACTTTCGCCTTTTGCGTGGGAGACATCGACGAGGTCATGGCCTCGACCACCGGTTTTGCCTTTATCCAGGTGTTCCTGAACTCGACGGGCTCGGTGCCCGCAGCAACGGGAATGACGGTGGTAATCATGATAATGCAGTTCTGTGCCACGATCAGCAATGTAGCCACCACTTCCCGACAGATCTACTCATTCGCTCGTGACCAAGGCGTCCCATTCTCTAGCTTCTTCTCTCAGGTGGCGTCCCCTTTGGTGATTCACCTCTTCTGGCGAATGATATCAAACTGACCCCATAGATCAGGTCAACAAGACATTTACAGTACCACTAAACGCCCTCTGCGTCAGCTTGGTGATTGTCTCCCTTCTATCCTTGATCAACATTGGATCCTCCGTGGCCTTCAATGCCATCATGTCGCTAGGGACGGCTGCCCTGCTGTCATCATACCTGATCTCTATCAGTTGCGTGCGGCTGCGACGATGGCGCAAGCAGCCTCTCCCACCGGCGCGCTGGAGCATGGGTCGGTTCACTCCGTTCGTTGATACGGTGTCTCTGCTGGTGCTGATGGTCGTCTTCGTCTTTACCTTCTTTCCCCTGACAAACAATACTGCGCCGTCCGAATTTAACTGGGCGATTGTCATTTTTGGCGCCGTCGTGGTGTTTGCCTTAGTATATTATGCTCTCTATGCCCGGAAGGTATACAAGGGGCCGGTGACGCGGGTGCGGGTGCGGGTGGCACAATAATGGGTATAAAGACAGGAGTGGATGGACGATTGAGAGACAACAGGGGATGTAAATAACAACAACCAAAATCAAAAGTAGATAACTCTGTGCAAATGGCCGTCACGACCAAGGTGAAGAGCCTGACACCTTAGACACTCCGATGCCGGTATTAGATACGCCGATTTACAGCGCGGAGGCTACACCGCTAGAAATTTGAGGTAGAAAAGACCGCAGTTTAGTTAGTGGCTATTATCAATTGGGCTATCCTGCCTTGACCTAACAGAGCTCTCAATGCTCACAAAGTGAGAAATCGCCTGTTTCAAACCCGTCATTTTGCGGACCTTGTTTGGCTCGTCTCTCGTCCATCAGTGCCACCCGGTATTCCCGGGCTTCCTCCAGGGTCATGGCAGCTGCAGGGATGTTATCAGCCACCATCTGCTGTAGTTCTGCCGGTAGCTTCGGCGCAAGCACCTGCTGGATCGCATCCTGTTTCTCGCGGGCCCAGGTCTCTTGCTGCGGTGGTACATTCGCGGTGGAGATGATGCGCCGATGCGGGTCCACCAGGAACAGCGCCAGGATCTTGCGATGGCCTGGCCGCGAGCGATCTGCCAGGCCAAACGGTGACACACGATGCTGCACTATATTGGGAAACGTAAGTAGTCGTCCTTCGCGACACACTACACTGCCCAGGTGCTGGGTGATATGGGATTCCCCATTTCCGCTCACGTCGGGACCAAAGCCATAGACTGCGTGGATGAATTCATGTCGATCTTGGTCATAATCCACATCGTACAGAGACCCAGCGCGTTGACGGAAGGACAGCGTGCTTTCGGTGATGTTCTGACTATCGTAGTAGTATATGGCGGTCGCGCAGATGCGTTCATTCTAATCCGAATGTATGTCAGTGGATTTGCAACCTGGACTTCTGGAAGTTATCCTGCTCACCAGCTGTCCTTCAAGATGCCACGAGCCCCCTTCGTATTCTGGTCGCTCCGGAGTGAGTTCAATGGTGGCCAGTTTCACAATGACCTGCAGCCCCGTCTCATGGAAAGACTCTCGCAAGTTCACCCAGCCTCTCCAGGAGGGCTCGGGGGCTCTGAAGGGGCCTGGCTCCGGAAGAGCAATGGGACGAGCTTTTTCCCATGCATAATAGCGATCTGAAAACTCCTCGCTATCCGAGTCCTCTCCTTCCTCGGGCTTCGGTTCCGGGTCAGGGTGCGGCAAATACGAGACTCCACTGTAGGGAATGCGCTCGTTTCCTTTCTCCCGAACCTGCGTCAGGCTGCGTTCCCAGAGCGGAATGGCTGCATCGATGATCTGCTCCACGACGCGGTAGAGCGGCTGATGCTCTGTCGGGTGCAGGTTGTTGATATACGAGACAATCCGACAGCCACTTTCTGCGCCCAACTCCACATCGCAGGGCAGCCATTGAAACTGTCGGCTGAACGAGCGCATTTGCTCCACCCTCCATCTCCTGGACGGAGTGAATGAGTCAAGGGTTAGCCCGGCCTCTTCCTCCGACGGAACGGGCACGACCACCCCTTGACCAATACAGCCCAGACAGCTGTCCGATGTGATCAAACGATCGGGTAGGATGCGCGTGCACCCGTAAACTAAAGGGAAGAGCGAAGGATGAACGAGGTCGACAACCTTCCGGTCTGAGCCTGGGTGGTAATCCTTTTGATGGGTCGGGATGTTCTCGAGGGGAGCGACGGCTTGCTGCAAGGCCTTCTGAAGCTCTTCTGAAACCGCTGTGTCGGAGCGGACGACCCCGACGTCAAATATCGAAAGCAGTCCTTCTTTCTGAAGATTTTGTGCTTTCCATTGGAGTTCCTTGACGATGTAGTCCATCATTCTGGGAGTCACATCTTGACCGGATGCCAGCACCTCCGTCCGCCATCGTGACGTGATGCCTTCATCGAACACCTTTCCTGCATCAGTCGAATGGCAAGACTCAATAAATCGTTTAGGTAGTCATACCTTGCGATACCACTCGGGCTTCTCTGTGATTGTATTCATAACCCGCATCATGGTTATTTCACGCTGAGTGCTAAGATGACTGCCGAGTACGCTGTTAAATTCGCCCATTTTGCTGGCTGATACGTAGCAATTCGGTGAGTCTTACCCAACGTAGCCATCACTGATATCTTTATAATCTAATGCGTTGGGGAAAAGTTCCGTATCCTATGACGAACGAAGTGTTATGTTCTGCCCCGGGCACCACGTGGCGGGGATGGCAGGGATTTTACCTCGGGCTGCCAGTTCAAGGGAAGGTTAAATCCCGGCAGTTTGATGGGTGAACTCGGCTTAGAACCCATATTGGCCCTGTATGTTGTTTGCTTGATGTCTGACGAAGTGAGGGAGCGATACATATTGTATTATATAGAGTGAGTCACTATTCAGAAGGTCTAACTAGGCAGCCGTCCCGTTAGGCAGACCTCCGCGACTAAGGCAACCAACTCACTAGTGAGTAGTAGGTTGTTGCCTGTGCGCTATAGACAAGAGGTTGTGGCGTCAAGGTCCCTTGTGACTTGCCGTCCCACTCTATGCGAGAACAGCGCCGGGACTACATCAATGATCTATCCTGAGTCGGAACAGTCCATTATTACATTATATTCATTGTGCCCGGCTATCGTGGGATGAGTCATGTGAAGACTATGAGGAAATGCGGGAGATGGGCTGCGACTTCCGACGGAGCCTTCAGCCAGCCAAGCCAGGTGTAACCTGCAGGAACCGAGTGAATAATCGCTATTCTGAGGGGGATTTCATGATAGCAAGATATACCCTATTCTCGCATTGTGGAAGCGATGCGACCGCGGGACTCAATGATTCTCTCCGTTGCCGTGACCTTGGACCCAGGGCTACACCGATATGAGGGCGAATATCCTGGCTTTGCGCCGAGTGTCGGCCGGCCAAGTCGATTCAGCTCTTTGTAAATGCCTGAAAGAGGCCGGCAATGTGTTTTCCAATGTGGTCAGACTCCTACAGAAATTGGGTGCTCTAGCCCGTCTCTGGCGCAACATGCGAGAATCTGCCAGCAATAATGTTCTCGTCATACAGGAGTAGCTACCGCTGCAAAACGAGCCACTCGCGAAGGCTTATATCAAAGACAGAAAAAATGGTGTTGCCCAGTTCTGTTGCTTTGACAGGTGGGCAAACAGTATTGGGCGACCGCAACTACGTGATGCTGGTCTGGAAGCAATTTAGAAAAACAGGAACCGGAATCGCCGACTGGCCCCCGACGTGGCTGTGGTTGGAGACGCCGTCGCGACGGAGACACTGGACGATTCCTTGCTCGGGACAGTGGCAGATGGGGAGCTGGTGCCTGTCACCGCGGAGTCCGATGTCACCGTGATAACTGCAGAAGAAGTAGGATAGATGGTGATGCTGGATGCCGTCGTAGTTTCCGGTCCGCCCCCTGGACCCTGGCCTGGACCGCCATCTGGGCCATTCCCAGGACCACTGCCTGGACCATCATCTGGACCATCTCCCGAGTTATCGCCCGAAGGGCTGTCCCCATTCCCGTCATCCGAGCTGTCGCCGTCGTCATCATCGCCCCCGATATAGGTCTTGTGAACCGACCAGAAGCCATCGCCTCCACCTATATGCGCCCCAAGCAAGTTTTGCGTTAACGAGACGAGGTATCTTAAAGTAATGTGTGTGGGATGGCGAGACTTACAAAAATCCGACGGGAATCCGGGGCAGGGGACGTCGCATTCTGACTTAGAGACCAGGTTTGCGCTGGGGGGGAGCGAAGAGCCGCAGTAGCAGTCCATGCTATTTGACGTAGCGGCATAGCTTGCTCCATTACGGCCGCAAATGCTTGAGCATAATCCAGTGGACTGGAATTGACTGGAGCCCTTGTTTACCAAGCTGCCGGAAGACGAGTAGCAGCCCACAAATTCGGAAGCCAGAGCTTGCGCGGTAAGAGACAGCGCCAGAACGGCGGAGAAACCGGTAACCTTCATGGTTGGCAGCATAAAGAATGACACGTGGGCAATCCCCAGTAGCTAAGGAGCGGATGTCAAGTCTGCAAGCAGAGAAGGAACGAAAACGAGAGAAACGGCGGATGAGAAGGGAGAATGGCAAGTTGCGACAGCCAAGTGTTTTAAGGGACCCATGAACGGCGGACCCTGAAATAGACCCTGCGATCCTGGCCATCCTGTGGGTGAATTTCTGGCTAGCAAGCATCCTGGGAAACACACTAACAGCACTAGCTCTGAAACCCAGCGTATCAAAGGCCTGCCCTGATCGGAAAAGACCCACGAGCCTCGGAGAAGTCTGCTCGAAGTTGGGTCGGAGAGCCCGAGTCGAGTTTGGCGGGGGGGCAAAATTTCGGCCAAGTGGGAATTACTGCTTATCAGTTCACAAGTTGTTCACCCTTGTAGGCAGTCTCACGCGAGGCTTCAGTGTTGTTATCACGAATTTCCAGCTTACCCTTTTTGAGTTCATCCGAACCATGGGCTAGTCCCACCAACCAGCCGGCGTCCCGCCGGCCGGGCAGCATGAGAGACTTAATGCGATCTGAACACAGGAAAGAAACGAAGAGAAAGGGTGCAAGCAGTAGTGGATGCTACCTGGTCAGCTCTGAAGACATTAAGCTGCTAGACTTTTTTATTATCAACAGTCCGCTCTATCAGACGGCTGGCTTCCGGTCATCTACCAACGCGTTGGCCCATTCACCCTGCGTGGTCGTGGAATTCGGATACCGAAAACATCTAAGCTTTCCATGTTTTCTCTTATGGCCCGGACAATAGACTCAATATCAGTCTCCCAAGCTAGAAGATTCAGCAATAGTCGTCGCGACACCCCCCACAGGCCCGACAGGTTCACCTTGGCATACCAACCCTGGGGTGTACGAACACATGTTAAAACTACGTACTTATTATACTACCGGCTTGAACACAGCTCCGTATTTCCCATGTGGCAAGCGACGGAACCCATGTCCGCGGGACGATTTCGGTATGCAGTGCCATTGATGTCATGACCCACATCACTGCAAGTATTTTGTATAAATATACCATCACTGCATCTGATCAGAAAGGAGAAGTCCAAGTGAGCTTTTTACATCAGACCCGCTTGCCAGAGCATAGTAAAGTCCGAAATGGAACAGCCTCCTTCTCCCTCAGCAGGATGGCACTCCCCAGGATGGGACTCCTCAGGATCCTCGGGACGTTCGTATTGGTCCGAATACGAAGCGTTCGCTGATAAATACGAGAGAGATGCTTTCTGTTATATCTGCAGCAGCCAGTTTAACGGCACGCCAATGGACTTCCGCAGAGCCATTACTGTTGAATCTGGGCAAGATACACTAATCTATTCCGCTCACAGAATCGAGGAGATATACGCGTTATCATTTGCCGGCTGGCGCACCCTTTTTCGGATAGGTAACTTGCATTAGGACGATGAACTTCACATGGATGCTAAACATTTCCAGTCATGTATAACCCGGAAGTGCAAGCGTACCAGCTCTCTGGTGTGGCTCGAAGGCCCTTCCAAAAACGTTGGTGGCATGAAGATCCTGAGGATGAGAGACCCAGATTTGTTGCGCCACGGGACCAGAATGAAGCGGTCCTGGAAACTCGGCAGGCCGAACAACTACATCCTGACCGTCTGGTGGCGCCGAAGTTGGTTATGATTGGTGATGACATGGAGAAGCAGACCACCTTAGCCGGATACCTCGTACATTCATTGTGCTGGCGCGAATTCCTCCGACTAAACAATCGGTCGAACTCGGAAGGGGATCTCTCTCTTGTCTCTCAAGCATTGCGGCAACGCTGTTTGCGCCGGAGACTCTATGTCCAATATTGGTTCTACGTCCCAATCAGAGAACTGGTTCAACTCGAAGGTCATCTGCGCATGTCACGCATGCTATTAAGTGATTGTCGCATACTGACATCTATGTTCTGAGTGCAGACCCCATTGCTACGGCTTCTATCCGCCAAATGGTAAAAGAGTGTAGGTCCAGAGCTTCCCGCGGTGTATACATGCATGTGGGCTCTCGCGCAGTCGATTCACGAATTACCTGGCTTCCTCAAGAACTGCAACGCATGATCATAGACCGGCTGGATCATAATGATATCCGAAAAATGTTGCGTGCTCTGAAGTGGATAATGGATCCCAGCTACTGGAAGCGACGGCTGGATGTGCACTTCTTCAGTGAGTTCAGTTTCTCAGGGAAGATAAGGGACTGGATTGGCAATGGCTGTGCCTAAAGGTTGAAGCTCTTAAAGACACTAAGGTAGGGAAGAAGCGCACGAGGTTTTTCGACCTGTTAATGCAGGTGGGAGATCGCTACGGGATAAAAGGGAGAATATAGGCCGGCAAAGTGTCATAATTTTACAGAATGTAACCTCGCGCATGCGACCGATGAGCATTATTATTAGGCACCAGCCTGGTGCGAATCCGGATTTCAAAGCTTTGACGCTGCTTGCGATATCTGGGGATGTAGATATTCTGGGCAAATGATTAGACATAAAAGAAGCCGTTGGCCCTTTCCAAACAACAAACACTCTTTATAAGCTATCCACCATCGTGACTCGGACTATACACGCAACTTGACCATAATTGCTGGGAGGAGGGGAGGGGCGTGGTACATATCTACCACGCTGTTGTCAAGAATTCTAATTACCTCGAACAGTTAGAATGTCGTGCAGAGTAAAATGAAGTACACTATTTTGCAAAGTGTCATAACTACTCTTACTCTTTCTTCGTTCAATAGTTAACTAACTAGTTGTTAACTAACCAACTAGTAACCACTTTGTACTGAACAGTCGTGCTGGTAAAGACCAGAACTAGTACGACCTGGTGACCTGGCGACCTAGCGACATATACAGCCACTCAGGCGGTCTTATCTTTCTTGTAACCCACATATTCCTCGACACGTGGTCCTCTGAACGCGCCTTGCTGCAGCCTGGCATCTATGCCTACGCACCGACGAATGACCTCTAAGTCTGACGCAGCTAGTGCCAAAATATGGTACTGTTATGCGATGCAGTTTAGTGTGAGATTAGCCGGCCCCGCAACTTTCAAAGATTGGAATTCATTATAAGGCAGTACCCCGCTCTCCCCACTGGGATATCCGATTATCATCTTTCAGTCAAAAACGCAGTATAAGGCCCACCAAGCCCCAACAACACAACCCCGTTAAAAAATATCACAATGGTATGTCTCTCTAAATAGCACCAAGAGTTCTCGTTTCGAACTATTAGGATTCTAGCCCCAAATTTTTTCTTCTGGAACATGCCATATCCATGACAGAATGCGGTTGAGAAAGCCACACTTGCAAGATACACTCCCAATCCAGCTATGTGTTCTATGCAATCGCTCTTTTTGCGCCGCCCACAAGGGAAAAGAGGATAACGTCTGTGAGATCAATCATGAGACATACTATCGAAACCACCCAGCCGCCCGGGAGTACTTGTATCGCACTTATGAAGATTGGAAGAAAGACAACGAAAACATGATTATGGATGATATGTGGCAGTAAACTGTGCTGGGTCTCATGTGGAAGATACATTGTTCCGAGCCTGTCCAGAAGAAGGGTTAAGTCCATTTTGGCATTATTGTTTAAAGAGGGATTCCTGCAGATAGAGTCAGAGCGCTGTTCCTGAACTCAACGATGTTTTTCAGTAAACGAAAGAAAGGCATAAACACCATCACATACTTGTCTGTTATCTCCCCATACCATGACAGTGGACAAGTAGGATACACCTGGCTACAAAAATAGCGCAAATCAATACCTGAATCATATGCTTCTTTTTTATTAACTTAATGATTCCCGAGTTGATTGGATCTTACACCCACAGTGTCCTTTCACATGGGCACTTCGTTCCAAAGCCTCCAAATTCTCTCGGAAATTGGAGCGGTTTATGTACTCGGGAAACAGAGCAGTAATTTTATTTCTACACACTGGCGTTTTATCTACCCCCATTACGTAGAAACACGGTGGAAGTAATAGACTCTGGTCATTAAGCCAGCCGCAGATGTCCATGTTTTTATATCTGTCTGCGCTGTAGTTAAATCAAGCCTTAAGCGCTAATGCATCAATTATACAACTGTTTGCGTTGAAATGTCGTCAACTAATGTATCCAGTCAAGTGACTGGTCCGTAAAAGTGCATCCTGAGCATTGGCCTTCTGGCAGAATCGAGGTCCCCATTGGATCATACTCCCTTTTGCAGATGTGCTATGCCAAATTTTACTATAGCCTCACCTACACTTTACCGGTCCAGCTAGTGGTATTTCAGTCATATTTCGAACAGCAGGTATATAGTCTGGAATGAGACCATACGTTTGCAACGTCTCCCTTGTTTTTCTCTATCCATCAAGGTGGCTCTCTAACTGCAGATTCAAGACGGACTTGTGGCATAAGGCTTGTTCAATTGTTTGGATTTTGATCGACGCGATCCAGGTAGTCATTGCAAACTACAAAAGCCAACTCATCAAACGCGGCTCAACATTCCGGGGAGCCACAAGTCCATTGACATTGAGCCTTAACCCAAAGCTGTGCGAGACTTTGCTTCAGCGCTCATGTAGGCAACCCATTGAGTATCGTCGTAGAGTAGAATGTCACTGTCCCCTCTCCCCTCACTCCGATCATACCTGCCATCCACAACCCAAATTTCCTGTCGAGCTTGAACCCAACGCTCTCCTATAGCATGCAGCGGGAACCGTCGAAGCCAATGAAAGCTACAGACTTTCGGGCTTAATTCACCTTTTTGAACGCCAATTATATGACAAGTGACCCTCACTTCCTCTATTGAAGAACCGGGAATTTGGACATTGAAGGCAGCTTCGTGTTTACCTGGGAGCTTCGAGTATCCAGCTGCTCACGTTCCCTACATACAAAGTGACGCGTTGAGGTTCGGATATCCTGACACCCTCCGCCATCAGTTTTAGTTTTCCATCAAGGATGGTACTTCGTCGCCAGGCATTTCCGCTACGAGGATGGCAGCTGTGAGCAATGGACGTGCCGCCCACGAGAACTTGGGGAGCATCATCCTGTGCACCGACTGTGGGTCCGTACCAACCCCCAGCCCTTGCGAGGCCAAGATCGACTCCACAGCTGCTGCAAGTAATTTCTCGCCTCTGACTTCCAGTGCTTGCCGCAATCCTCTCCGCACCGGCATCAGCTGCCCAACTCCATTCCCTGAGAATAGGGCCTCCGCAACAAAACCACCGTCGGAGGGCTCCGGATCTTGGCAATGGGAACGCTTCTCGCTTACCATCTCGCTGGATTGGACGGACTTCCTCGGCATGGCATGGTTTTATTATCGTGGAAGAACAGCTCAATTTGCTCGGAATCGATACACAGTATTACAATATCATTCCATTCCCTTTCGGGTATTCTAAACTAGTTTACTCATAAATATAGCACAGAGGAGTGCCAGCCGTGGTGTCCAACACGTCATAAATCTCACGCGAGACAGTCAGGTTGCCCATGTAGAGCAAGTCATGAATGGTAGTGTTGGGCGATGCAATCAGACCATCAATGAAGTCTGGTCCCTTGACGACGTAGGTCCGGTTAGCAGGGTTCAGGTTCTGCCAGATCCAGAAGACGCGGTCAATCATAGCGTGGTGGACATAGAATGCCGGATCACCGGGAGAAGTGTACAGATCCTGCAGAGCTAAGTTAGCTTTCTCCCATCGCAAAAGAACAATATGCAACTTACACCACCCGGGTCACCACCAATGGTGAAGTGGCCGGCCGTGTGAACGCCCAGGAAACCTTCCTCAAAGAACCCTTGCATGGTCCACTCGAAGCAGGAGATGTTGTCGCACTTCTCAATCAGGCTCATGACATCGCTAGACTTGGTCCAGCCCAGAGCGGTCCAGGGGGAGATGTCACGGCGCAGACAACGGGGGTTGTAATCCAAACCACTGCCGTTTTGGGCTACGAGGCCAGGGATCTGCAGGGTAGGATCAACCGGTCCCAGGTTGACGGTCATGCTGATCATCGGCGCGTCAGTATCCAATTCGAGAGTGAGCAAACGGGGGGGGGGGGAAGCTTACTTGGCGAAGGGGCCGTTGCGGACACAACCTCCACCAACACCCGGTGGGATGATGGTATAGTCAGTCGCAGGGGTGCCATTGTGTGGAACGAAGTCGCCATTACCAGACATGCTGTACTCGGTGCCGTCAAAGACGGGCGAGTTGATGGGGTTGGCAGCGTACTTGTTCCATGCCCAGTATGGCTGGTATCCATCGTAGCCACACTCTGTACGCAGAGCATTCTCATAGGCCCAGGTGAAATAGCGGTGCCAGGTGAGGAAGTTCCCCTAGCCAGTAAGATTAGCAGGGTTTCGATTGGTCTTGTTTTCCAATCGCTACATACTGTGCCATGAATATACAGGGTTTGGTTGATGTGAACCGCCACAAAGTCATCAAAACGGTTCCGGGCACCCGGAGCCCAGTTCGGGTCAGACCTGGGGGGCTTGGACATCAAGCAAAGAACAGCATCTGTGTACTTCTTGCGGTCCTCTGGCGCGAGGGAGCCCCTGTATGAGACGTATTGTCAGCTTCGAAGCCTGGGGGATAGTCAATGCCAGTTAAAGTTACCATTCTTTGCGAACAGCCGCATTGTTGATGTTGCAGCTGGAGTTGGAAGAGCCCTCAGGCGCCAGATAGGCACGCTTGGTGGCCAAGGCCTTGCTCGCCAGCACATCGACAGGATCTTGAGTAGCTGCCGACACGGGAGTGACAGTCAAAGCTGCAATAGCAGCAGATAGAATAGAGAGACGCATCCTGCTTGTCGGTGCAACTCGCTGGACCAGAGGAGGACTTGGTGTCAAGCTGGAGTCGTTCAAGAGGGAACCCCGGTCCTCCAAGACCTCTATATACTGCTTTGCTCCCCACCACGTGCATTGCTGCAGGCCAATCCAACGGCTATCGGCCCATTTTGGCGAGGTGCCATTTCGGAAGTCGGAAGCCTAGCCCTCAGACGATTGAGACAATAGATTGCACACAGTGGGCGCGGTCTAGTCCATGGCTGGCAGTGTTTTCCCCTAAGGCGTGGTGGAGAAGGGCGAACGGTAGTGCAATCTTGTAAGATGTCCATTGGGCCGTTGAAAGACGGGTAATATCATAAGTACGCTAGCAATTGGAGCAACTGGACTGCTGGCAGGTGTTGACAGTCTAGAATGATGCTAACGGTGCTAATCCGCTTTGTGGCGGACCGGCGCGTCTCCAAGCGAGGCCAAGTGGGGACTAACGCCAGGGTTGGATGATCCACGACTGACAGGCTCAAAGGAATTTGTTTGGTTTCGTGGGGTGCATCAAATCGTCACAGCCATATGCGCTACTTGAAATATTGTGCGCTGTAGTGCGGTGAATAGATAATGAAGCCATAATCATCTTCGCATGACAAGGATCCACCACCATCCAACGCGTGCCAACAGAAAAGCCTGCCACGCGAGCAGGGATAACTTCGGATGTGGATACATCGTCTGAAACTGGCTTTACTGCCAAGACACTCCGTCGGAATCGGGGCAGCCGCCGGAAGAGGTCCGCGGTGCACTAGCGAACCGGTCGTGTAGTGGTCACTGGAGATATAATATCGAGATGCTCCGTGAGAATCTCCACCGTCAAATATAGGCTCACTGGGTGGAGCTCGCCAATCTCCGACCCTCCGAACTGCCTCCGATTTCCCGCTGGGTTGCGTCCCTTGCGAATGTTCATTCTCTGGTCTGTGAGTCGGCTCCTCCCCCAGAGTGATCGTCGCGATCAGCTCCCTACCAGCGTCTTCCACATGGGAATCCAATGATAGGCAGCGTGACCTTCCTTGGCAGATCAGTGGTTCAAGAGAAGTGTTTCTCGCATCACTGCAATTCTGTAGACTTCGCAGTGAATAAATATCCTGATTGTGCTACTGTGCCGTGTGCAGAATCCCGGAGATTATCGCTTACTTCGTCAGCACCCAAACCCTCTTCGATGACACTAAATCCCGCGACAACCCTGCTAGTCGCCTAGAGATTCCGTAGTGTGGTTCCATTTTGACTTATAAATCTTGACGTTTAGTCCAATTAATCTATTACCTTCCGCCCGAAACTCGGCGCTGATACGACTGGTGGGATGTCGTCCTCTTCATCCGGAATGCTAGGGGTATCCATTTGTAATAGACTCCCAGGAACCGAAGCATCCTTCGAGACCCGGGCGCTATCTCTGCAGGTGCCAAGGCGGCCTTTGGGGGCTTCCACAGTCTTGTGCAGTGATGACAGATCGGTTGAAAGTAGAAAAGGGCGCTGCAAGGCATCCCCGACACGGGGACATGGATGCGTCGAGCTTCTGTCCGTCCTCCGTGACAGGGCCAGCAGTTCGCGGCCAGCATGACTCCCCTTCCCGGCAGAGCCGGTGATCCACGGCAATTACTTTGGCTTCGTGATGAGTCAGGTGGCTCGAATGCCCCTGGAATTCTCGCGGCAGTTGGTACATTAACTGGGCTGTCAACATTGGTACTGTGGCTCCGATGCTATGTGCGAGGATATCTTCTTCGACGATTCAATGCAGAAGAATACATCATTACCGTAGCGTGGGTGAGTCATTTGTTCTATTTCATCGCTCATGGGAGTGCTTCCTAATTGCAGGTAAAATAGCTGTGTGCCGTTGGTGTCCTAGTCTGTTTTGTGCTGGAAGCTCAGCATGGTGTGGGTCGCTTTAGCAAAGACATCACCGATGAAGATGAGCAAGTCTTGTCTAAGCTGGTTTACTATCACTCACTTATTGTCATGGTCGGGCTTAGTCTTGTGAAAATTTCTTTGGCTGTATTCTTGCGACGTTTCTCGTCAAGTCTCCTAAGCAAGGCCCTAGTTGGATCGATCAGTGGGTGCACCTGAATCAACGCTCAAGACTTTGTTCTGTATGACAGATATCTAATAAACGGCAGCTTTTCTGGTGGCATTTACCATCGCCTGTGGTCTTACACTCATTCTGCAATGCATTCCCGTGGCAGCAGCGTGGGATACAAGCTTGCGGCCTCATGCCCGCTGTTTTGACAGTGATACATATACAGCTATCGGCCTTTGGAATAGCAGTAAGTTTGACATGACGCTTCCATATATTTCATACCACTTCTCTAATCACACCATTCCATCACTTGATTAGTTACCAACCTTGTCACCGATGTCATCTTTGCAACTTTGCCAATTCCCCTTTTCATTGGGATTCAGGTCAACTGGCGAACCAAGTTCTCACTAATAGGAGTGTTGAGTCTGGGATATCTGTCAGTCAGCTCTACAGTTCTTCCGAATTATTTTTACTGATCGTCGACTAGGGCCTGCGTCGCTGGAATTGTCAAGATCGTTTCACAGGTCAACGTACTTAAGGAGCAAAACATGTATCGGTAAGGATATGTGCTACACTACCCGACAAAGAGTGCGATTTTTTAAAGCTAACCATCGAAGACACGACACTTTCATGATTTGGAATTGGTGGGTACCCTGAAGCTCAGAATCTAAAGAGAAGGAAAACTGACTCCCTTGCCATCTCCAGTGCCGAGCTAAATGTCGCTATACTCGCCGCTTGCCTCCCTAGTCTCAAGCCTTTACTGAAATCGGTCCTCGATGGGACCCGCAGCCTGACCACGGGGCGCCGCAATGCCTCTGCCTACCGCTACGACACCCAGGGATATTATGTCCAGCGCAGCACCGACATTGCCATGAAGTCAATGCCCCGAGTACCACCAACTGTCTACGATGTCACAGCTGCGGGAAGTTCCGACGGCGAATCCGGGAATTGGAGAGAAAGTGATGAGCAGAGGCTGCATCGGACTGAGACCGGCATAATGAAAACGACTGAAGTGGTGATTCAGACACATGGAAATTAACATCGGTTCATTTGTACATTTAGCTTCGTGAATGTTACCCGATTTACATTCGACTTACTGAATTCTTCATTCAAGCCCCACTCCATGTGTACTGGTGGACCGAGGCGGCTACTGCGGAGCAGCACGTTCATTTAACGCCAACAACGACAATATTTCTCTCTGCCTTCTGCCATGGTAGTCCCACTTGTTGGGGGTGAAGTCGTTAGTCGGCAGAAAAGCACTTGCAGCAAGTATCGCAAGCCAACATCAGCCCTTTTTCCAGAATACAGAGGAACGCCTAAAATATGACATGCTTGACATTGCGTAATTCTCGATATAAGTGAACTTTCTAAAGGCACCAGAAGTAAGACGATGCATCTTGTTATCTTGCATATGAACAAAGCTTGTCTTCTTGGTTAGCAGTAAATTTCGAGACATAGGAGACCGCTGGCGTAAGTTGTTGGGAAGTTGTAGCCAGTTAAATATCATACGTGAACGATATATATATTATTTTAAAAAAATATGGAAATATTGGATTACTATACAGAATTTAATTATATATTCCCCGAAAATAACATAGGTATGAGATAGTCACACATATATATCCATGTAAAAAGGGGTAATAAACTTAATGGTTATTATTGTAACCGGGTTATTATATGCCACGTTTATATGATCACTAATGCTTAAGAACTGTCAATACTTCAATCACAACTCTGGATTGCGTTCATAAACCATGATTTATCAAGAACTATATTTGTATTATCCTCGTCACCCACCCCCCCAGGGCCCTATGTTGAGGCAGTATCACTGTAGGCTCCGTCACGTGGCCGCGGTCATGCCGCCCACCAAGCACCTCTTCGCGCTCGTTCCGCTGCGCGTTCCTAGATAGTAATACAACACTGATTTTGCTCCATTCTTTGCCTTCGTTTCTTCTGCCTGTAGAGCGCTCGAACACCCTATAAAAGATGGTTATAGAAAGATATTTATCAAATTGTGAAAAGCAGCGTTGGTGTTTTAACAGGACGGCGCATATGTTGTGACTGGGAGCCTTTGTCAATTACGACAATGACACTTAACAGATTACTGATAGAGATAAAACCATTGCAAATATCGAATTATTCTCTTTCTTGCAGTCCCAAAATAAACCTTGGGGATAATGCCAAAATGCTCTCGGCACATACTTGTGCTAAGTTCTGTATTATTATTAATATTATTAACTGGTAGTTTA